ATGCAGATCTGACAGAGAATCTGCTACAACAGAGCAGGGAGAACATGACCCTAGAGGAGACATTAGAGGCATTGTCTTCGCTTCCCAGCATCGGAACACCACCACCACAAGTGGGTGCTTTAAAGAGCAGGAAGTGACTGTCTCACAGTTTTGGTGGTGAGATATCCAAATCGGCATGGGCTCAGTAGCTGCAGGCATTTGTTGGCTTGTAGACGGCTCCTCACATGGTCTCTTCCCTCTGTGTGTCTATTCTGTTGTTTTGTAAGACACTACTCAGAAGGGGTTAGGGGAGCTCTGGTAGCATAGTGGCTAAGACACTTGCCTGCTAACCAGACGGCTGGTGGTTCAAACCCACCAGCCACTCCTCGGAAGGAAGGTTGGGCAATCCTACTTCCGTAGTGATACTGCCTCGGAAACCCAAGGAGGGGTCGCTATGAGTTGGGGCCGACTCGATGGCACATAACAACAACAACAACAACAACTCAGAAGGGGTTAGGTTCAGCACCCACTCTACACTGATACTTGTTACCATAACGAAAGGAAATCTCTCTTTCCAAATATGGTTATATTTACAGGTGTGGGGTTAGGACTTCACCATAGCTTGTTGAGGGTTACAATTCAATCCATAACATTTCAAAGATTTGCCAGGTCTTTCTTCCAAGGCACTTCTGAATAGACTCGAACCACCAACTTTTGGTTAGCAGCCAAGCATGTTAGCCATGGGTACTACCCAGAGACACCATATGCTCTGCTAGATGGATCTGACAGATAGTTTCCTACCAAAAGTCACTCACAGCAGTCCATATGCAGAATTTTCACGGCACGCCTAAATCAATTGCCTTTACAAAGGGTGGTGGTACCTGCGGAGGGAGTGCTGTGGTGTGCTGGCCAGAGACAAAGAGCTCCGATTTGTAGCATTGGCCAGGTTCATGGTGTAAATACTCCCACCATGGTTGGTTTCAAGCTACCAGCGTGATGTCCTTGAGTGCAGAACATGGGAAGAGATGCCCAGGACGGCCTTTCAGGAGCCAATATGAGCCGGCTCAGCAAACCACCGGGTGGGTGGCAACTGCTGATGGAATTCCAGAGAAGCCCCTTGTGGCCAGAGAGGTGGGGAAAACCAAAATATGGGGTGTCCCTGAAATCAAAGGAGAGAACTTCAGGAAGGAAAGGAGCTCGGCGCTGGCTCTCTGCCCAGTAGCATGGAGAGAAGAGGTTAGACAGGCTGCTGGATTTGATGGCCCCATCGCATTTGATGGCCCAATGGTTAAGGAAGCAGCTGCTAACCGGAAAGTCAGCAGTTTGAACCCAACAGCTGCTCCAAGAGAGAAAGATGTGACAGTCTGCTTCTGTAAAGATCACAGCCTTCAAAACCCTATGGGGCAGTTGTACTCTGCCTTACAGGATCGCTGAGTTGGAATGGACTCAAGGGCAATGAGTTTTGGTCTTTGGTTCCTGTACCCTACCCAAGACTCCAGGAATAGACAGAATACCAATTGAGATGTTTCAACGAACAGATGCAACACTGCAGGTGTGCACTCATTTACACCAAGAAGTTTGGAAGACAGCTACCTGGCCTACTGACTGCAGGAAGAGATCCACATTTGTGCCATTCCAAAGAAAGGTAATCCACCAGAATGCAGGAATTATCAAACTATGTCATTAATATCATATGCAAGTAAAATTTGGCTGAAGATAACTCAAAAAATGGTTGCAGCAGTCCATTGACAAAGAACTGCCAGAAATTTAAGCCAGATCCAAACGAGGATGTGGAACAAGGAATATCATTGCTGGTGTCAGATGGATCTTGGCTGAAAGCAGAGGATACCAGAAAGATGTTTACCTGTGCTTTACTGACTATGCAAAGTCATTCTATTGTGTGGATAACAACAAATTATGGATAACATTTTGAAGAATGGGAATTCCAGAACACTTCATTGTGCTCATTAGGGACCTGTACATAGACCAAAGGCAGTTGTTTGAACAGAACAAGGGGATACTGTGTAGTTTAAAATCAGGAATGGTGTGCATCAGGGTTGTATCCTTTCACCATATTATTCAATCTGTATGCTGAGCAAATAATCTGAGCAGCCGGACTATATGAAGAAGAGTGTGTCATCAGGATTGGAGGAAGACTCATTAACAACCTGCAATATGCAGATCACAGAACCTTGCTTGTTGAAAGTAAAGATGACTTGAAGCACTTAGTGATGAAGATTAAAGACTACACTATCTAGTATGGATTACACCTCAACATCAAGAAAACAAAAAATCGTCACAACTGGACCAATAAGCAACACTATGATAAATGGAAAAAAGATTAAGCTGTCAGAGATTTCATTTTCTTGGATCCACAATTCGATGCCCATGGAAGCAGCAGTCAAGAAATCAAACAATGTATTACACTGGACAATTGTATTTTAAAAAAAAAGTCACTTTGAGGACTAAGGTGTGCCTGGCCCAAGCCACAGTATTTTCAATAGCCTCATATGCATGTGAGAGCTGGACAATGAATAAGGAAGACCACTGAAGAAGAGTTGATGCCTTTGAGTTGTGGTGTTGGCGAAGAATGCTGAAAGTACCATGGACTGCCAGAAGAACGAACAAATCTGTCCTGGAGGAAGTGCAGCCAGAATGCTCCTCGGAAGAGAGGGTGGTGGGACTCCATCTCACCTACTTTGGCCATGTTGTCAGACAGGACCTGTCCCGGGAGAAGGACATCAAACCTGGTAAAGGAGAGGATCAGCAGAAAGAGGAAGGCCCTCAACGGGCTGGGTTGACACAGCGGCTGCAACAATGGGCTCCCACGTGGCAGCGATTGTGAGGCTGGCAGAATCAGTCCATTTCTTGTTCTGTGGTCCATGGAGTAGCTATGAGTCGGAACCAACTGAACTGCACCCATGGAGCTAGCAACTCTGAGGGACTTGGTGTAATGTAACGGCCAACATAAGGTCTGAAGCAAACCTCCATTTTGTTACAAGCTCCTGCTTCTGCATTCCTGAGAACGTGGCCTTGACTTCTTCCCATTCATACGTCATGGTCTTGGGCGTCCGGCTGGTTGGAACCAGGCTCCAGGCCCCTGGCAATCATCTTGTTTAACCACCCAGCTCTTGCCCTAGGCCACTTTTGGTGAATAAGGATTGCTGTTGTTGTTAGGTGCTGTTGAGTCGGCTCCAACTCATAGTGACCCTGTGTGCACACAACAGAAGGAAACACTGCCCGGTCCTCCGCCAGCCTCACAGTGCTTGGTATACCTGAGTCCATGGCTACAGCCACTGTGTCAGCCCATCTTATTGAGGGCCTTCCTCTTTTTCGTTGACCCTCCACTTTACCATTATATCCTTCTCCAGGGAACGGTCCCTTCTGACAACATGACCAAAGTAGGTGAGACGAAGTCTGGCCATTCTTGCTTCCGAGGAGCAGTCTAGCTGCACTTTTTCCAGGACAGATTGGTTCATTCTTCTGGTAGCCCATGGTACTTTCAGTATGGGGTCAGGAATACGACTGTAGGAGTTTAGTCCAAATGTTCTGGGAGGAAAGTAGTTGGAAATAGTATTGCTGGTGACACACCCATCTTCTGGCTGTCACCATTCGGCCATCACCCCCCCCCCCCCATTTTCGCTATGAAAGCTCACCTCTCCCTCAGGCCTTCAGAGCAACTTTGTATTCTCTACAAAGTTTCTGCCCAATTTGCAAGTCCTCTGTAACTCAATAAATCTCTTGGGTTTCATTTTGATAGAGCACACAGTTCGAAACTCGTTCCTACTCATTGACACCATCACCTCCCAGCCTAGGGCCCCAGCCAGAGCACTCTGCGAAGGGCAGATTCCCCAGAGAATCTGTGCAGGAGGTAATGGGCCATTTGGGAGCAAGGGGCTGAAGGAGAGAGGACAACACGGTCCTGAGGAGACAGAACAGAACCTGCTCGGAGAAAGCACCAGGCTGCAGGGGAGGCCCTGGGGTCCCCCCGTGAGCGGAGGTGTCAAGGTGTTTCCGGGGGGCTCAGGGCATTCAGTGGAGCTGCCCCAGGTGGTGATGCCATCCCCCGGGAAAGCAGCCCATCGGGCCCCTTCCCGTGAGAGTCTGGAAGATACCCTCCTGCTAGAGCCATTGGTCACAAGGACTGCGAACAATACGGTGGGACAGGCGGAAGTGGGCCCTGGGCAGGGGCAGGGGGTCTGGGAGAGCATCAGGAGCTGCTGGGGCCTGCCCCTTGCAAACTGGGCCACGGTCCGCCTTTCATCTCCCGCCTTCCTCTGGGCCATTGCAGCGTCCGGCTTTGCTTCTTCCCACCCCACCGCCCCCAGTGCAGCAATTACGGCGCTAATTAGGATGCTTTGATCATCTTTAGAAATGGCCACATTGGTGAAGGACGCAGCCAAGCAATTAGGGGCAGAGGGGCTGGGAGCTGGGGGCCCCTCAGTGAGTGGAGCTGCCAGGGACCCCCAGAGACACCCTGCCTCCTCCCCTCCAGGACTGTGTGCCCCCAGCATCACTGTGCGGTACAAATGGGGATCACCCTCCCCCATGCAGCCTGGGAGACAGGGACAGCTAGTCCTCAGCAGCCCCCTGCCCCCGCCTGGCCCCAGCCCAACCGTCAGCTCTTCTTCCTTGTCCAGGCCCCTTTGATGGAGCCGCAGAAACAAGGGCCCCTTTGACAGAGGGGGGCTCGGAGCCGACTATGAGACTTCAGAGGTGACAGTCGAGCCCACTCTCCCATCCCCTCCCTCCTCCCCGGCCCCCTTCCCACGCACCCCCCAGTCTGTCCTCTATATAGTCCCCGCAGCTCCATGCCCCTGTGGGCTCCTGGGAGTAAAAGGCCAGGTGAGGGACGGGATGGATCAGGGGAAGTGGGCAATTTGATGTAAGAGAGCAGAGTCGGATGATTTGAGGGGCAAGGAGACAGGCCCTTAGGAGCAGAAAGGGAGTGGGAGGCAGGCCCCCACGGACCAGCACCTGGAGGGTGGGCCCCAAGCACGGACAAGGACGGTCCCATCACCATGCTGCTATCTCCACTGCCACTGCCGCTGCTGCTGCTGCTGCTCCCAGACCCCTGGTCGGCCGGCGGCCACCCTCCGTACCTGCGCCTGCCCCCCAGCACCTTGCAAGGTGAGTCGGGCTGGCGGGGCCAGAGGAAAGGGACCCCAGGCAGGGGAAGAGGAGCTTGCCACCCTCCCTCACAAGCCCCTCTGCCCACCCTCCTGGAACTGAGAAGGGGGGACGGGGAGAAGAGTGGGGACCTTGTGAGCACCACCCAAGGGCCTTCAGAGAAGGTTTCAAGCTTAGCAGGGCAGCCTGGGGCAAAGGCAGGCACCTGGACCACAGTTACATTAGGTCAACAAAGTTCTGTGATGTCCTTATCTCTGGAACTGCGTTTTTCCTGTAAGGTTTGTAAGGAAAGATGTTTTCAAAACTCTCAGCCCAAAGAATAAAAGCGGGGGGGGGGGGGCAGGATCCCAGCCCAAGCCAGTTGAATTACAAGGATATTTGGGCTGAGAATCTAGGAGCACTGGCTCTGAGTGATGCCCCGAGCCCCTGTCTCCTCCTCCTTGTCCCCAGTGTTCCCGGGAGCCCAGCCTGCCTTCCTGAGGTCTCCCAAAGCAGGGCTTGGGGCTGGGGCAAGGGATAAGCCAGGCCCTTCGGCAACTCTGTGACTTTGTAGCCCGTGTCAACCGTAAGGTCCCTGCATGGTACAAACTAGTAACCTAAAGGTTGGGGGTGCAAATCCAGCAGTGCGGGAGAAGAAATGCCTGGCGGTCTGCTTCGGTAAAGATTACAGCCAAGAAAACCCTACAGAACAATTCTACCCTGTAACTTGGGTTCTCCGGGAGTCGGAATCCACTAGAAGGCAACAGCTTTTTGGTTTGGTCTCAACAGTTCTGTCGGTGCAAGGCACGAAGGCACTGCAGGCTGCCCAGAGGAGTGCCCGCTGGGCGGTACAGCGGGTGACCATGGAGATCCAGCAGCGAATGCAGGAGTGTCAGGCCTGTGCCAACCACAGCATCCCGTGCTTCAGTAAGGTTCACTGACTATGGACTCGTCAGCCCATCCCCATCCCCTCCTTCAGACCCGACACCCCTCCTAGGGACAAAGACTGGGTGTGGCTGCCACCAAGGCAGTGCCCCGAAGGCAGGGCAGCAGGAAGAGTCTAGGCTCCCATGATGATGTTAAGCGAGAAGTCCACCTTTCCGGAGTAGAACCTGCCTGCTGGAGGGTGGGGTGCGAGAGGGAGAGGCAGGGGAAGGGCCAGGCCAGGCCCAGCCTAGGCTGCACAAGGGGCGGGAGGGCGGCAGTGACGCTTCAAGTCCGTTTCTCAGCAGGACCTCGGGGTTCCAGGCCTCAAGCCCCCCTCCTCCAGAACCCACCTGAGCCAGGTGAGACTGAAAGGGCTCGAGAGGGCGGGGCCCAGAGCCCGGTATCGCTCGTGACGCCGCTCCTGCCTGTCTAGGGCCGTGTGGCGAGCGGCGCCCAGGGACCGCTAATGCGACGCGGGCTCACGGTCGCATCGTGGGGGGCAGCGCGGCGCCACCGGGGGCTTGGCCCTGGCTGGTGAGGCTGCAGCTCGGCGGGCAGCCTCTGTGCGGCGGTGTCCTGGTGGCAGCGTCCTGGGTGCTCAGCGCAGCGCATTGCTTCACCGAGTGAGTCCGGACCCAGATTCAGCCCAGGCGGGTCCCCGGAACACCGGTTCACCTCTGCTCCGGCCCCGCCTCCACCGATGCCCCGCCCGTGGCCCCGCCCCAGCCCGGTCTCCGGCGCAAGACCCTGCCAGCTCTGGCCCCGCCCCCCGCTTATGCCCCGCCCCCGCCCCGATCCCGCCCTGCCCAATCCCCAGAGCCGAGTTCAGTCGGGTTCTGGCCTGACCCCGCCTAGGCCCCGCCCCCGACGGCTCTGGGGCGAGCGGCGCTCGCCAAGGCAGGTCTCTGCTGCCTCCTGGCGGCGGCAAGCGTGGGCTCCCCGGCCGCGAGACGCCAGCGCCGGCGGGTGGCGCGCTGCACCCTCTCTGAGGCCTGACTCCTCCGGTGTCTGCCCGGCGTGCCTGCCCAGCCCCCAGTCAGAGAAACAGCCCTGCGTGCCGGCTCGCTGGGTGGTGCCCGTGGGCGGAGGATCCGCTTGGCCACCTCCTGTGCCTCACCTGCCTCTCGCCCCACAGCGCCCCGAACGAACTTCTGTGGACAGTGACACTGGCCGAAGGACCCCGGGGCGAGCAGGGGGAGGAGGTGCTGGTGAACCGCATCTTGCCCCACCCCAAGGTGAGAGAATAGCCCTTAGGTCCCCAGAACTGCCCCACGCCTCGTTGACCCGCCCCGCCACCCCCCTCCCCAGTTTGACCCGCGGACCTTCCTCAACGACCTGGCCCTGGTGCAGCTATGGACGCCCGCGAGCCCGACGGGGCCGGCGCGCCCCGTGTGCCTGCCCCAGGCGCCCCGGGAGCCCCCTGCCGGCACTGCCTGCGCCATTGCGGGCTGGGGGGCCCTCTTCGAAGGTAGGGGATGGGGCAGGGCCTGGGTGAGGCGCTCAGGCACGGAGTGTGGGGAGGCCAGTGGGGAAGGGAACCCGGTCTACCCGGGATTGGAAGGCAGTGGGGGCGCCCGCAAAGCTGGGCTCCTGCCCCCAGAACTGAGCACCTCGTCCTCTTCTCTTAGACGGGCCTGAGGCTGGGGCGGTTTGGGAGGCTCTCGTGCCCCTGCTCAGCACCAACACCTGCCGAAGGGCCCTGGGGCCCGGGCTGCGCCCCAGCACCATGCTCTGTGCCGGCTACCTGGCAGGGGGCATCGACTCGTGCCAGGTACGAACCCAGACAGATCGGAGCGTGTGGGCGGGCTGCTCCCGGGGACAGGACGGCCTCCTTTCCTTCAAGCTCAGGCTGTCACTGAAGTCCTCCAAGAGTGGAAACCCCGGGAGAACTCAGAGCTGACTTACCTGCTAAAGTGTCAAGAGCAGAGGGGGCCTGTCAAATGCAATGCCCTTTTCCCCCGGCTCCGGTCCCCTCAGGGCGACTCTGGAGGGCCCCTGACCTGTTCCGAGCCCGGCCCGCGTCCCAGGGAGGTCTTGTACGGAGTCACCTCCTGGGGGGACGGCTGTGGGGAGCCAGGGAAGCCTGGGGTCTACACCCGCGTGGCGGTGTTCAGAGACTGGCTCCGGGAGCAGATGAGTGGTGAGCGCCCCCTGGCGGGACATGCCCGCCCAAGCCTCTCCAGCGTCGGGACAGCAGGGCTCCCGCAGGGGAAGGGCGTGCGGGCCCAGGGCCCAGGAAGCCGGGGGTGAACTGGTCCCTGTCGCCCCCGGCCGCAGCGGCTCCCTCCAGCCGCGAGCCCAGCTGCAGGGAGCTTCTGGCCGCGGACCCACCGGACGAGCTGCTGGCTGTCGCGGCGCCGGCCTGCGCCTTCTACGCGCGCCCATGCGAGGGGTCCGGGGGAGCTTGTGAGCGCCGGGCGCACCAACAGTGCCTGCAGCGCCGGCGACGATGCGGTCAGTCCGCAACCGGGGCGGGAGGCGGGGGCAAAGCGCCAAGCCCCTGCCTGAGCCCGCCCGGCCCTTGTCCCGCCCGCAGAACTGCGCTCGCTGGCGCACACCCTGCTAGGCCTGCTTCGTGGCGCTCAGGAGCTGATCGGTCCTCGCCCGGGGCTGCGGCGCCAGGCCCCGGCCCGCCCCGCGCCATTGCTCCGGGAGCCGCCAGGGCACCCGGCCCTCGAGCAGCGGGCGCACCCAGGTACCCGGCGCCCTCGCTGCCCAGCCGGGTCCCGCCTCTGTGCGGAGGAGCTACTTTCTAACCACATGCCTTCCCAGGATCGCGGGCTGCAGGCATGCGCTCCTGGAGGCGGAGACCAGAGCAGCGCCGGGAAACGAACGGTAATGACGCCCCCTGCCGGCCGTCGGGAGGAGAGTAGGCTAAGGGGTTTCTCCCAAGTCTGTGCTGGGATGCAGAGGCTCCAAGGGCCTGCGAGACCGACCAGTTCTCCCCATACCCCGGAGTAGGGCGGACGACTGCGATGGGGTGTGCCTTTGGGCCTTCGTCAGTATCTGAGCCTCAGTTTCCCCACCTGTAGCACTAGGATGATGTGATAGGAAGCCTGTCCTTAGGGACAGCCCCATGTCTTCTCTGTTCTCCGTTATTCTTGGCCCTTTCCCTCCTGCCAGGCTGTCCTGGGCTTGAGCCCCTGAGAAAGAAGTTGGCAACCCTTCAGGGCAGCCATGCCTGGATCCTCCGGATGCCCTCTGAACGCCTGGCCATGGACTTCCATGAGGTAGGGCCTGGCCTTCCCACACTCCTTCCCAGTGGCCCAGATCTGGCTGACCTGGCTGGGGCCCTGAGGGGTACAGGGAGGGGGTGCCCACCCCACAGCAGGAAGAAGGCTTCTCTCCCAAGTCTGGGTGTGCCTCTGCCCAGCTCTAGGGGTTCAAGGGGAAGGAGGTGGGGAGGGGCACAATGTGTGAGCTGGGACACCGGGTGGGTGTGAAGATGTTGGGGGACAGAGGTGTGAGTGGAGGCTTTGTAGGGGTATCCGTGTGAGCAGGGTCATGTCGGGTGAGGGCAGAGGATGAGGTGGGTCTGGGGGAAGGGATTCAGGGGCCAGAAGGAGAGAGGTAGCCAGGAAGCCTACTCAGGAAAGGAGTTCTGCGTCTCCTTCCGCAGGTCCTGGCCGATCTGGGCTCCAAGACACTGAGCGGGCTCTTCAGAGCTTGGGTGCAGGCAGGCCTCGGGGGCCGGCGCCTGGTCTTTGGCAGCCTGGTGGGCCTGGAGCCTGCCACGCTGGCTCGGAGCCTGCCCCGACTGCTGGCCCAAGCCCTGCAGGCCTTCCGCTTGGCAGCTTGGGCAGAGGAGGAGCTTGAGAGACCCTGGAGGGGGCAGGGTCATGGGCTGGGGGGCAAGGGGCAGCACCCACCCAGCCCTCAGCTTCCTCGGGCCAGGTGGCCGTGAGCCATGCCAGGGCCCAGCCCCTGATAGCACCTCCTGCTCCCAGAGGTGGGTATCCAAGGATCTTAATGTCCTGCTGCAGTCGGTGGGAGAAAGGGGGGCATCGAGACCATGTCTCTGTTTACCCTGGGGGGGGGCAGACGTGGGGTTCAGAACCGCATGTATCTTTCCATGTGTGTGGTCAGGGAATCACAACGGCTTTAATAAACATTATTTATGATCTGTGGAGACGACTCTGGAGTTTTCTTGGATAGGAACCAGGTGGGGGACATTCGTCTCTGGGGTGGGGCCCAGGCTGGGTACAGACTCTGAAAGGAGTCGGCAGGGATGACAAGGGGACTGGAGAGGGCCACAAGCCCCCCATCTGAGCACAGCTGTCTGCGGAAGCCAAGAAATGGCAGCAGCTGGCCTGCCTGTGACCCCCACCCCGGTCCATGGCTGACCATGTTGCTCCCGGTGTCCAGTGGGTGTCTCCACTCGCCCCCACCACAGGCTGTGGGGTGTCCCAGCCTGGGATCTTCACCTCATGTCCTTGGGCTGCAGGCAGGCTGACCAGTCCTCGTCCCCACCCCTTGTCACCTGCTGCAGCTAAGCCTAGTGGTGTCAGATTACATTTCCGGCTGCCTCTTCCCTCTACCCCACTCTATGCACCCCCTCCCGCACCCTGCACCTGTCTCCTCTTTCTTCCACCCACATTCCCCAGCCCCCAGGACAAGCACGGGAGGGGCAGACACAAGCCCCGGTCAGAGGGACAGGATGGAGGGGCCCGTGCTGACGCTGGGGCTGCTGGCTGCCCTGGTGCTGTGTGGTAAGAGTGGGCATCACCCGCCCTGGGGGTCCCTCATGACTCCCACAGGGCCCCTAACTGCATGGCGCCCACCTGCCCTGCCAGCACCATGCCTGGCTCCACTCTGCCGTTGGCTGGGATGGGCCGTCTTCAAGGGCACCACTTCAGGGAGGGGTCCCCTCCACTCTACCAGCCCTAGGGCCTGCAGGGCCTCAGGGCAGCTCCCTTTCCGGGGCCCCAGCCAGCACCCTGTCCTCGTCCTCCCAGGCAGCTGGGGCCTAAACGAAGAGGAACGGCTGATCCGGTACCTGTTCCAGGAGAAGAACTACAACAAGGAGCTCCGGCCCGTGGCGCACAAGGAGGACAGCGTGGACATCTCACTGGCCCTCACCCTCTCCAACCTCATCTCCCTGGTGAGATGGGCTGAGGCTGGGCTGAGGGGAAGGGCTGGGAAGGATCCTTGAGGCCTGCTGCCTCCAGTACTGGCATGGCCACGGAGAAGGCTCGAGCCCCCAGAGCTGGCCAGAGGGTAATCCTCTTGCCTGGGAAACATGCTCACTGCTCCTCACGCCCACAGTGCCCGCAGGGCTGGTGCCCTGTCTCCCAGATTTTAGCCCTCTGCGTCACACTATGGCTTCAGAGTCCATCTGCCCTCCCAGCTCACTGGTTGGCCTGCCTGCTCCCAACAGTGAGCATGTGGGCAGGGTTCTCGTGGGCCTGGTGGCCATAGTTTCCCCCGCGTGCCAGTGGGAGGAGGTGCCTGGTGAATGTGTGCGATGAAGGAGTGAGGCAGGCCCCAGGGGGATGGCCCTCTCGTCTGATTACAGAAAGAAGTGGAGGAGACCCTCACCACCAATGTGTGGATCGAACATGTAAGGAGACACGCCACTCAGAGCTGGGGATGGGGCGCAGGGCTCCGGTTCCTCTGGGCCCTCTTCCACCAGGAGTCCCCAGCCTGCCCCAGACACTGTCCTCCAGGATGAGCTGAGCTCAGCAGCAGAGAACCCCCAGACCTAGCTGCCCTTCCTCCCACCTAGTGCAGCCCAGATGGCATCTGTGAGGCGCCGGGAGCTTCATCTGCGGGAAAACGTCACAGCATGCGGATTGCATTATAAGATGCTCTTCTGCCGTCAGCCAGAAGTTCACGGCACAGACGCAGACCTGGGCCCACAGGGGAAATGTTGCTCCCTTAGTTGTGCAGTGCACATCCTACACAGCTGGGCAGGACAGACCTGAGTCACCACTGTCCCTGCCTCCCCCAAACCTCTTCTGCCACAGCTCCCAGACCTTGTCCAGGCTGCCCCTGGGGGAGAGGTGGGGCAAGGAGGGGCTTGTGGACCAGCAGAGCCCCTGCTGACATGCTTCTGGGGCCTCCAGGGTTGGACAGACAGCCGGCTACAGTGGGACGCCAAGCAGTTTGGGAACATCAGTGTCCTGCGCCTGCCCTCTCACATGCTGTGGCTCCCAGAGATCGTGCTGGAGAATAAGTTGGGCCAACGCCCTCCTGCCCTCCCTTCCATCTCACCACTTCCCTTCCTTAATCATCCCCGCCTCCCCCTGCGCCCCAGCTCTGACCGCCCTCCCTCCCCGCCTCCCCCTGTGCCCCAGCTCTGTCCGCCCTCCCTCCCCGCCTCCCCGAGCCCCAGCTCTGACCGCCCTCCCTCCCCGCCTCCCCGAGCCCCAGCTCTGACCGCCCTCCCTCCCCGCCTCCCCCTGCGCCCCAGCTCTGACTGCTTTCCCCTGCTCCACCAGCCCTGCCAGCTCTGGGCTGGCACGGCTCACTGAAGCCCTTGCTCCCGTCCCACAGCAATGACGGCTCCTTCCAGATCTCCTACTCCTGCAACGTGCTCATCTACCCCTCAGGCTATGTGTACTGGCTGCCGCCCGCCATCTTCCGCTCATCCTGCCCCATCTCTGTCACCTACTTCCCCTTCGACTGGCAGAACTGCTCCCTCAAGTTCAGGTGCGCCTGCCTCTCTACACCCCCCGCCCCACGCAGGGCACCCTTCTAGGGCTGAGGCTGGTGAATGGAGCACCCTTAGGCTGAGGACCCTGACCATCCTGATTAGAGTCCCCTCCCCTGCAAGGGTCCTCTCTACCCTGAGCCTCCCTCACTGGCTCTTCCCATCATGGTCCTGCCAGTGGCAGGTGCCAACCTCTGCCCGCTGCCCTCCCCAGCTCGCTCAAGTACACGGCCAAGGAGATCACCCTGAGCCTCAAGGAGGAGGTGGACCGAAAGAACCGCACCTACCCAGTGGAGTGGGTCGTCATTGACCCGGAGGGCTTCACAGGTGGGGAGCGGATGCCCCCCAGACAGACCCCCACCCCATTCTTTTCAGGAACACAAGGCTGTTCTCAGGAAGACAAGCTAACAGCTCCACTCTCCCATTCCTCTGCACAGACCTAGTTTTGGTTCAGGACACCTTTGAGTCAAAGAATGCTCACTCTCTGAATCCTGCAGGGCCTCAGCTTTGGCCTTTTCCCAGCAGACAAAAGCAGCAGTGACAGGGAACTCCCCACACACAGATTGGAAACCCCCTTCCTTTGGGGCATTGGAGATGGGCTTGGGGGTGCATGCTACCCCAGGGTCCCTTCCTGTCCTGAGGGCTCCAGCCCTCCTTGCCGGGGTGACTCCCAGTGCCCCCCATGTGTGCCACCCTCAGAGAACGGGGAGTGGGAGATTGTTCATCGGCCAGCAAGGGTCAATGTGGACCCCAGCGCCCCACTGGACAGCCCCAGCCGCCAGGACGTCACCTTCTACCTCATTATCCGTCGCAAGCCGCTCTTCTACGTCATCAATATCTTGGTGCCTTGTGTGCTCATCTCCTTCATGGTCAACCTGGTCTTCTACCTGCCAGCTGACAGTGAGCTTCGGTGGCCCCCTCCTCAGCTCACCTGAGCCCCAGCCACCCCAGCCCTGCCCCTGACTTCCTCCTGGGAGCCACACGGGCTTGGTGGCCATCTACAGGCAGTGCCATGACCCTCTCTGACACTCCCAAATGGGCAGGGCTCCTGGGGGTTCCTTTCTTCCTGGACACCCCTCTGCCTCTCCTAATGGGCTCCCCAAGGACACCCCAGGGAGAGCTACTAGACTGTCCTTCTGTCAGCCCCACCTTTGTGTGGCCATGGGCTGGTTCCCAGCAGGTCCTCAGCTGTTAAGCCAGTGGGTGACTAATGGGCTCTTTCAGAAGCCAGTGGCAGTGGGCCGTGCACTCTACGCTAACCTGGCTCTGGGAGGCATTGCTTTAATAGTTCTGGATGACTGACTACGAGCAGATCACACGGAGGCCCAGGGACAGAGGAGACCCAGGCCCTGGACCTGCAGACAGCATGGAAACCATGGGGCTGAGAGAGTGATGGAGGGGATGGGCAAGGCTCCCTGGAAGAGGTGGTGTCTAAGCTGGGGGCAGTATGCCGGGCAGAGATGTTTGGGGTACTCCAGGGCAAGTGGCCACCTGGGGCCTGGGCTGGGGCAGGGGCGTGGACCTGAGACCTCGGCAGCCACAGCGTGCTCCCATGGGAAGAGCATGGTGGTGCCGGGCAGGGGCCTTTGAGTGAGGTTATCCTGGGGCTAGTAAGACACCCCAGAGCCTTCTGCAGTGGACAGTGAGGCCAGCAGGCCTGTACTCTAGGAAGAGGGCCAGGCATCTGGAGGAAGGGAGGGGTCATTAGATCATGACACCTGGTATCTGTGGAGCTTTCACCCAGTGCCACTCAGAGGGATGACCAGCCTCTCACCTTGTCCTCACAGCAAGCCTATGAGAAGGCATTATTCATATCCACATTTAACTTTAAGGAAACAGGCACAGAGAGATTATGCTACTTGTCCAAGGTCACCCAGCTAAGTGGCAGAACCGGGATTGGAACTCAGGCCTCTGGCTCCATAGCTTGTGATCTGGACACAGTGGCTGGTGAAAAGTGGTGGGAGGGACCACAGTGGGACTACCCCAGCTGGCCTTGGCTCCAGACCAGAGATGCCACCTCAGTTTGGGCCTCTGCCAGGTGGGGAGAAGACATCAGTGGCCATCTCAGTGCTGCTGGCACAGTCTGTCTTCTTGCTGCTCATCTCCAAGCGGCTGCCCCCCACATCCATGGCCATCCCGCTCATCGGCAAGTGCGTGACTCCCAGCCCAGCTTGCCCTGGCCATCCACTTGACTCTGCCCCTGGGAACCCTGGCCCCGCCCGCCTCACCCTCGGCCCCGCCCCCAGGCCCCACCCCGATCTGGCCCCACCCCCTGACCTGGCCCCACCCCGCCTCACCCCAGCCTGGCTGGGGCTCCAGGCTGTACGTGTACGCCAACAGGTTCCTGCTCTTCGGCATGGTGCTGGTGACTATGGTCGTGGTGATCTGTGTCATTGTACTTAACATCCACTTCCGGTCGCCCAGCACCCATGTGCTGTCCGAGGGCGTCAAGAAGGTGAGGGCCGTATGAAATATCTCGAACAAGCGCATGTATAGAGGCCAGCGTTTAGCAGTGGTTGTGGGGGAGGGGAGTCACTGTTTAGGAAGCGTTGATTTTCTGTTGGTGGTGATAGGAAATTTGGCCAAATATTGGTGATGGTTGCACAACATGGTTAGTGTACTTGATGTCACTAGATTGGACACCTAGTGAAAAACGTTACATTCCCAACAGAAAAGGGTGGGGGCTCCTATAGCCAAAATGGAAGTTGTCCACAGACGGTGTTGAGCACCGGCAGACGCCCGGTGCTGCACTCAGTGGAGACCCCTCCGCCAGAACCTACGCGGAGGAATCTCACCTAGCGTTGCATGAAGGAGGCCAGCAGCCAGAGAGCAACTGCATGGCTCCATTTCTATCAAGTTCAAGAACAGACAAAAACAATGTTTGGTGACGGATGTCAGAGGGGTAGTTACCTTTGGAGTGGGTAGGAATTGATTGAAGGCATGAAGGATAATGTTCACCGTGTTACCTGGGTGGTGATTACCTGGTTGAACGCACCTGTACGTATTCATCAAACCATGTGCTCAAGGTTTGCTCATCTTGCTGTGTGTTTGTTATAAATGAGTTACAGAGAAGAAGGTGAGGACTGAGGGGCAGGGTGCCTAGGAGGGGAGTGCCTGTCTCTCTGCCGCCCTGACCTTTGCTTCGCGGCCAGCTGGCTCTTCCAGAACAGTTGAAAGTGGTTTAGCAACTTTCGGTGTCTTTGAGCGTTTGGGGGGAGGGGAGTGGGGATCTCAGCATTTTGAACATTTTTCATGCCGTTTTTTTAAAATATGTAATTCATTTTCTTTTTTAAGTCTTTTTTAAAATGTTGTTGTTGATACACAGACATTTTCACTAGTTAATCTAGACTTTGGTATTAGGAGCTTTGGTGGTGCGATGCCTAAGGCATTTGACTGCTAACCAGAAGGTTGGCAGTTCAAACCCACCAGCCACTCTGCAGAACGAAGATGGGACAATCTACGTCTATAAAGATTTACTGCCTCAGAAACAAGGGTCACTATGAGGTGGAATCAATTCGATGGCAATGAGTTTGGTTTTTGTTTTGGTTTATTGTTTGGTATTAAGAAGACTTCAGGGAATATTTTTGGTTCAAGGCTTAAAGATTATCTCATGGCAATAGCATGGCGATAGTTTCAGGTTTGTCCAGCCTTCATGGCTCCAGAAAGCCTGAAGTCTGTGGAAATTTGAAATTCTGGTCTACATTTCCCCGTTTTGATCAAGAGTCCTCTGTAGAATCTTAGATCAAAATGTTCAGTAATTTTGGTAGCCAGGCACCATCCAGTTCTTCTGGTCTCATGGCCAAGGAGGCAGTTTGTTCATGGGGACAATTAGCCACACATTCCACGTTGTTGTTAGGTGCTGTCATGCTGACTCCGACTCACAGTGACCCCATGTCCAACAGAACACAACACTGCCCAGTCCTGCGCCGTCCTCACAGTCCTGCTGCATTGGAGCCCATTGTTGCAGCCACTGTTCAGTCCAGCTCATTGAAGGCCTTCCCCTTTTTTGCTGACCCTCCACTTTACCAGCACGATGTTGTTCTCCAGGGAATGGTCCCTTCTGACGTCATGACCAAAGTAGGTGAGATGAAGTCTGCCCATTCTCACTTCCAAGGAGAATTCTGGCTGCACTTCTTCCAGGACAGATTTGTTTGTTCTTCTGGCAGTCCATGGTATTTTCGGTATTCCTTGCCAACACCACAATTCAAAGGCATTGATTCTTCTTTGATTTTCCTTACTCACTGTCCAGCTTCACATGCATGTGAGGCAATTGAAAATACCATGGCTTGAGTTGGGTGCACCTTAATCTTCAAAGTGACATCTTTGCTCTTCAGAACTTTAAAGAGGTCTTTTGTAGCAGATTTCCCCAGTGCAGTACAACATGATTTCTTAACTGCTGCTTCCATAAGTGTTGATTGTGGATCCAAGTACAATGAAATCTTTGACAACTTCAATCTTTTCTCCATTTACCATGATGTTGCTTATTGGTTCATTTGTGAGAATTTTTGTTTGCTTTATTTTGAGGTATAGTCCATATTGGAGGCTGTAGTCTTTGATCTTCATCAGTAAGTGGTTCAAGTCTTCTTCACTTTCAGCAAGCAAGGCTGTGTCATCTGCATATCTCAGGTTGTTAATGAGACTTCCTCCCATCTTGATGCCATGCTCTTCTTCATATAGTTCAACTTCTCAGATTATGTCCTCAGCATACACATTGAATAACTTTGGTGAAAGAATACAACTCTGACACACTCCCTGATTTTAAACCATGCAGTGTCCCCTTGTTTCATGCAAACAACTGCCTCTTGGTCTCTGTACAGGTTCTTCATGACCACAATTAAGTGTTCTGGAATTCCCGTGCTTTGCAATATTATCTGTAATTTGTTATGATCCACACAGTCAGATGTCTTTGCATAGTCAATAAAACACAGGTAAACATCTTTCTGGTATTCTTTGCTTCCAGCTAAGATCCATCTGACATCAGTAATGATATCCCTCATTCCATATCCTCTTCTGGATCCAGTTTGCCTTTTTGGCAGTTCCTGGTCAATTTTTGAATGATCTGTAGCAAAATTTTACTTGTGTGTGATATTAATGATAGTTTGATAATTTCCATGTTTTGTTGGATCACCTTTCTTTGGAATGGGCACAAATATGGATCTCTTTCAGTCCATTGGCCAGGTAGCTGTCTTCCAAATAGCTGCATCTATTTGTTGAAACATCTCAGTGGATAGTGCGTTAATTCCTGGAGCCTTGTTTCTCACTAATTCCTTCAATGCGGCTTGGACTTCTTCCTTAAATACCATTGATTCTTGATCATATGCTACCTCCTGAAATGATTGAACATTGACCAATTCTTTTTGGTACAGTGACTCTATGTATTCCTTCCATCTTTTTTTCATGCTTCCTGAGTCATTCAATATTTTACCCATAACCCACTCCTGACTGCCATCAAGTCGATTCAACTCATAGCAACCCCCATTGGGTCTCAAAGGCTGTAAATCTTTATGGAAATAGACTGCCTCGTCTTCCTCCCATGGAGCACCTGATGGGGTTGAACTGCTCACCTTCTGGCTAGCAGCCAAATTCCTTACCCACTACATCACCAGAGCTCCTTTTTGCCCATGGAATCCTTCAATATTGCAATTTGAGGCTTGAAGTTTTTCCTCAGTTCTTTCCGCTTGTTCCACTGGGCACATTCCACATCCTCCTGAGTCCTTCTGTCCTTTTTCTTCTGTTGCTGCAGGTGAATAGAGCCCAGTTGTTGTGCTTGCGAGTTTTTAAGACCCCAGACACTATTCAACAAACTAGGAGGTAGAACAGAAGCACTAAGCCAATTAAAGAATTTCTTTTCAATGAATGAGTGCTGTGTCCTGTGGGAAAACAGTGGAAGCAACCTAAGTGCCCATCAGTAGGGGATCAGGGAATAGACAATGGAAAGTCTGGCTGGGGAGGACTTTACTGCAACCATTAGAGGTGCAGCCATTGGGTAAGAACTCAGGATGCTTGAAGAGGACCCTGATGAGTAAAACAACCTCCTGTGTCACCCTGACCCACCACAGCTCTTCCTGGAGACCCTGCCTGAGCTCCTGCACATGTCCCGCCCGGAGGAGAATGGGCCCAGCCCTGGGGCCCTGGTCCGCAGGAACAGCTCTCTGGGCTACATCTCCAAGGCTGAGGAGTACTTCTCACTCAAGTCCCGCAGTGACCTCATGTTTGAGAAACAGTCAGAGCGGCACGGGCTGGCCCGGCGCCTCACCACTGCACGTGGGTCCCGGCCACCTTGGGGCTCGGCCTGTACGTGTGGGGGGGTGCAGGTGGGGGCTGGCCTCACATCCTCCTCTGGCCCGGTCCCCACAGGCCGACCTCCACCAGGCTCTGAGCAGACCCAGCAAGAGCTCTTCATTGAGCTGAAGCCAGCTGTGGACGGGGCCAACTTCATCGTCAACCACATGAGGGAACAGAACAATTACAACGAGGTGAGTGTCGCAGGCCTGCTGTGGACAGGTGTTCAAGTCGTGCACTGCCCAAGTGTAGCCTCTCTTAGGAGGGCATAGTTCTCTTCAGAACCAGTTAATATGAGGGAGTTCCCAGTGAGTACATAGATTGTAGCCCCCCAAGCAGGGAGAGCCAGCCCTGCTTGCAGACCCCCATAAGCACACTGGACCAGGCACCCACGCAGGTATACACACAAGCTTGCCACTGTGCCCTGTCCCAGCCACCCTCTAGGCCTCCCTTAGGGCCCTTTTGCCCAGATGCCAGTCATTTGCCGCCTCTGCCTAATTCCAACCCTGACACTGCAGACTAAGCCAGGCATTTCAAAGGCAGCTATATATTTCAGTTCACTATCACACTAACTTTTATAGATTCTTTTGTGAGAAAGAATGAGCTAGTAGCAGCCCAAGGAGCTGGGAAAGAAGGGAAGAGCAGGGGAGGGGCCTCAGCTCACTCTCAGACAGACTCCTACCACCAGCTCCTCTCCAGCCCCCTGGAACCTTGCAGTAGAGTGGGGAGGGAGGCTGTGGCCCCACTCTGTCCTTGAAAGACCAATGACAAGGCCTGACTGTGGCCGGAGGGCCTGGGGCCTTGGTCAGGACATTGAGTGTGCCAGCTCATCTCATCTGGGCCTGTAAGCCTGAGCCCACCCCCACAGACAAACCAAGACCACACCTCTGCCTCCTCATTGGGCCTTGTCACTAGGAGTGTGGGCCTGAGTTTGAGACCCCCACAGCCCATGTCTCCTCACCCCTTCAGGAGAAGGATTGCTGGAACCGGGTGGCCCGCACTGTCGACCGACTCTGCCTGTTTGTGGTGACGCCCATCATGGTGGTGGGCACGGCCTTGATCTTCCTGCAGGGCGCCTACAATCAGCCTCCCCCTCAACCTTTCCCTGGAGACCCCTTCTCCTACCGAGAGAAAGATAAGCGCTTTGTCTAGGGCCCTAGTGGGACCTTTGCCTGAGGGATGGGCCTAAGGTGGCAGCCGTATCTGCCGGTACCTGAGAGGAGAATCATTCCCTCCCCTTGGGAAGGCTGACTCCTGGCCCTGAGGCTTGAGCCCAGCTGGTCTCACAGGCTAGGGCAGAAAAGAAAGGAGTATGGGCGCTCATGGGCTCAAGGGAGCGGGGGGACCTCACTCCTCCACGGTGTTTCCTTCATTCATGGTGAGGTCTAAGAGTGAGTGGACTCCGCTGTGGAAGAAGGGCCTGGGACGATGTGGGGGAGGCAGGAGGTTGGCTCGGGGCCAGGGAAGTGGTCACTCAGGCCAGCCTCCCAGGAGAACTCTGCGGGGTCACAGAGACCAAGGGACAGGGCATGGCCTCTCTGCCTCTCCTCCTCCAGAGAACAGGGACGGGCTGATGCGATTCTGAGCCTTTACTGCCCAGCTCCTCCAGCCACCCTCCTCCCGCTCACCCTCGGTCTTAGGCTTTTGAGGCACCACCTGGTGCCAGGTCAGGGCACCTCCGTCTCCTCTGGCTCCTTAGGGAAGAGGTTTTCTGCAGGGTTTCATCACGCCCTTTCCCTTCCCCTTTGGGCCTTGACCACTCTGTGTGCGGGGCCCTCGAGCGCAAGCACCTCATGCCTGACATAGGAGGGTCAGGCTCCGTGTCTCAAAGGCCAGGGGTCAGTCTGTCACCCCCAAGTCACATGCATAGTCCTAGAGCCCTAGAACTCAGTGCCTCCCCCCACCAAGGAGCCCCGCCTTGGCACCTACCGCTTCTCCCCAGATAGAGTTGCCATGCAATATTTGGGACATAGTTATACTAAAAATGTATTGTTCATCTGAAATTCAAATATAAGTGGGTGTCCTGCGTTTTTACTTGCTAATTCTGGCAACATTACCCCTCAAGGGAGCCCCCCATGCAATCTCCTCCCTAAGGTCAAGGGCCAAAGGGCAAGACTGCACAAACTGGGAGACGGGTCTGTGTGGTAGCCTGCCTCCAACATGGCCCCAGTGAGCGATCCTCCTGGTATTCATGCCTGTGTAGTACCCACCCACAGGACACCTGGGTTGGTCTTTGTGACTAACAGAGTCAGGCAGAAGTGATAGTATGTCACTGCTGAGGTTAGGTTATAAAAGGCATGCATGTGTGTGTGTGTGAATGGCATATCTCACTTTGGGGATGCCAGTTGCCCTATGGAAAGATCCATGTGACAAGGAACTGAGGCCTCAAGCCACACGCGGGAGCCTGGAAGCAGACCCTCTAGCGTCAGTGGAGCCCCCAGATGACCACAACCCTATGAAAGTCCCTGAGCCAAGACCACCCAGCTAAGCTGCGCCTGGATTCCTGGCCCTCAAAACTGTGTGAGAAGATAAATGTTTGTTGTTTAAAACTACTGAGTTTTGGGGTAATCTGTTACGTAGCAATAGAGAGACCGTCTGGTCCTGGCTCTGCCACTAGCAGTGTGACCTTGGGCAAGCAACTTACTGGCTCCAAGCTTCAGTTTTTCTCACTGCACAATGTGTATATTGAGTCCCTCTCACGGGCTGTTACGAGGATTGAATTTGCTAATGGGGGAAGAGACTTCGGTGTGTCTTACAAATTTAAGGGGTGGTTCTTTAACCCACTCACTTGTGGGCCTGGGTCACAGGAGATAAGTCCCTGGGTCCCCCATGAGGGGTTGGGGCCAGGTCTGTGCATCCATACCTGGCATGATGATACAGACTAGAGCAAGGCATAAAAACTCATTGGTGTCCAGTCGGTTCCAACTCACAGTGCCCCTAGTGGACAGAGTAGAACTGTCCCATAGAGTTTCCAAGGCTGTTACCTTTATGGAAGCCTACTGCCCCATCTTTCTCTTGCAGAGCAGCTGGTGGGTTCAAACCACCAACCTTTTGGCTAGCAACCACATGCTTAACCACTGTGTCACCAAGGCTCCTTGAACAAGGCAAGGAGGCCTCCGTTATCCACCTCCTTGATGTAGAGGCTCTCAGTCTTCACAGCTCAGCCATTCCTCTCAGAGTGATGGATGACCTCATTAGCTCCAGTGTACAGAGAGTGAGGTTTTTAATCTTCACATGTAACCAAGGGAGAAAAAAAATCCATTCAGAACCCAAACTGACTCTAGTTGCTTCTGTCTTCCAGTATGAACTGTGCACAATCTCGGGGTTAACCCTAACCACCAGGATTCCTTAGCCTCAGGTGCTTAATTTTTCTCTGAAAGGGACCAGGTTGGACTCACAGCTGCCAGACACACAGGAATTCCAGGACCTCCCAGAACTGCCCACAGACTCTGGGAGGTTCCCTGCCTCTTGCACTCAGAAAACCCACTGCTGGTGAGTGGATTCCAACTCATAAGATCCCCCACTGGGTTTCCAAGGCTGTCAATCTCTATGGAAGCAAACTGCCTCATCTTTCTTCTGCAGAGAGGCTGGTGGGTTCAAACCACTGACCTTCTGGTTAGCAGCCAAATGCCTTAACCACTACACCACCAGAGCTCCTTACTTTTGCACAGAGATGAAAGGGGGAAAAAAACACATTGCCATCGAGTTGATTCTGACTAAAGAGACCCCACATGTGTCAGAGTTGAACTGTGCTGTGTGGGGTTTTCAATGGCTGATTTTTTTGAAGTACATCCCCAGGCCTCGAACTCCATTTGCACCATGCAGGGACTGAGAGGAGGCCTGAATCCAGGTCTCTTCGCCCATTGTTGTTGCCTCTCTCTGCCACAGGGTGGCGCTGTTGTCAGCAGGTTTTACACAATCTAGCAGGTGAATCCTCAGTTGCATCAGGCCCTGTTCAGGTGGCTGAGAACCTTCCAGAGAGGACAAGCTCAAAATGTCATGCCCAACCAAGGGTGCCTCTTGTCCAGGGTCCAAGTCACAGCAGTTTCCATTCTAAGATGCGAAGTTAGGACTGGCCCACTCTTTGGTGGACTTAGATGTCTATCTCCTTCTCTCCCCAGGAAATCACTCCCAGGATAGCTTCCCAAGAAACCAAGGGTGTCCCTACATGTCTGTCCAGGCTCTCAGGGCTTGCCACCCTTCTTCCAAGGACAGTGAATCAATCAGGAATGCATTGGGCTGCAAGGAAGAGGAAATTCCGTGAACTGTGGCTCAAACAAAAGGTTTTCTTTTTCTCACATAAGAAGTCACTGGGCAGTGTGGGTTCACCTGCCCAAACAAGCTGTTAGGGACCCAGGCTCTTTGATATCTGCCCAGTCTTCCTTCCTTAGCATGTTGGCTCTTGTCGTCATGCCTGTTGCTTCCAGGCTCCAATATGACTGCCCCAGCTCCACACGTCACATCCATGTTCAAGGCAGGAAAGGAGCCAGCCGTTTCTGACCCTGTCATCAGGAAGCAAAAGCTTTCCCATGAAGCCCCTCAGCCAACTTCCCATTGGTCAAAATGTAATCACAGGACTACCCCTACCCTCAAGGGATCCTGGGAAAAGAGTATTTTGCTTTTCCAGCCCGTACCATAGGAGGTAGCAAAAGAGAAGTAATTGTTGGACAAAGAACGGTGTCCATGGGATTCTCCTTTAATAGGTCCTGCACCCTCAGCCCCTCCAGGAAGTAGGAAACAGCCTCAAAGATGGCGGGCCCTCCTGAGAACCACTGGGAGCCTTCTCTGCAACTCCCCCAGAGCAGAGAGAAGGCAGAAAACAGGAGTGTAAATCTTTGCACATCAGGGAGCCTGCATAAGTCACACCTGAGAGGAAATCAGTCTCCATTGTCCCCTTTGCCTCTCAGAGACTTATGGGGAAGGAAAAAGGAGAAGCCAGAAATTTCAAAGCATCGGGCCAGACCCCTTGTGCCCTGGGAGGGAGAGGGGGGGATACAGGGGCTAGAGGAGATGGTCAGTTGTTTAGCAGAGACCACAGATGAGTCTTTGGGGAGGTGTGCGATTGGAGGAGCATGGAGAGGGGAAAGAGAGAGTGCTCTGAAAAAGCAGGGGAGGGAATTGAGTGTGGGGGTGCCACCAGAGGGCCAAGTGGGGAGGCAGGGAGTCTTAGAGGTGACTCCTGGAGGTGATGCCGAGGAGAGGAGGAGCTGTTGGCTTTGTAAACTCCAGGGAACGCTCGTTCCACACATGGATGGATGGTTTGAGGGTGCACCTTGGGGTGTGGTCAAAGAAATCTAGGTGTGGGGCATGGAGCAGGACAGAGGCTGGCAGACGAGGCACCCCCAGATTAACTGCGGAAGCAGGATCAAAGGCAGACATGACTGGGGAGGCCGGTGCTGCCACTACCAACCCACTCCATGAACTCCTGGCGAGGACAGACGACTTGTGGCCCCTCGGCCGGGGGCTGGTTTCAAAGCCAGCTCCATTTGGGTCTCCAAGGGCAGAGAGCCTTGGCAGCTTCAGTTCACCAGCACACACTGCAATGTCATTCATTCAGTGGGGAGGGACCTCTGTCCTCCAACCATGCTTTCCCTCCAATCCCTTCCGGTGCCCTGTCCCTTGGTTGCTGGTGACAGCTCGACAGGTGGGTGGCACGTATAGGTCCTGAGTTTCTGTCTTGTGCACAAACTAGGACAGGCTGACCTGTCAGCTTGGAGTAGATGGTTCCAAAGCAGGTGGCCCGAGCGTGTCCACAGTGGGCAGCAGGGCCCCTGGCTTCTGGAGCCAGCCTTGACCCACCCCCTTCTGCTGACCATAGTCCTCAAAGTGAATGAGGCTACTTTCTGGTCTTGAATTTCCCTACTGGGTACCCCCATTTGCCTCTCTGGGGGCCATACCTGGACTTCTGTTTACCTGCCTCCATGGACTGCAACTCCCAAGGGCTCAGGCTTATCAGGATCCCCATGGCCCAACCTTACCCGCCACACACAAGGTGGTGGTGGGCTCCATAAATGTCTGTTGGAGGAGCCCCACAGGCTGTCCTATTCACAAGAGGCCAAGTTATGGATCTTTCTCAGCCCTTCACTTCTAAGCTTACCAGTCCTGTGTCCCACTTCTAGGGCACTGGGGACTCTGACCTGGTGCCTTCATTCATGTTAAGGTGTGTGACAGGTGAATCGCATCCTCAAAACACACACTGGAAAAAGACAGGCATAGGAGTTGAACATTTCCCTGAGGTAAATACGCTCCTTGGAGAGAACAATCATGGGAGAAAGAAGGGCTGTTTATGCACAGGGAGACAGCTCCGGGCAGGAGTGCATGGAGGGATGGACACTGGGAAGAGGTGACTGTCGGGAGGAAGTGGGAGGGGAGCTGTTGCATTGTGGTGAATTGTGGTCAATGTCATGAGAGAGTGTATGTGAACTGCTGTACAGAAAGTGAATTTTGCTCTGTAAACTTTACCCTATTCACAATTTAAAAAACAAAAACAAAAACAAAAAAACATGCTGAAGTCCGGACCCCTATGAAAGTTTGGAAACAGAGGTTTCTGTTAGGTTAATGAAGTCATGCCTGAGGAGGGTGGGTCCTGCTCAAAGAAACAGACACAGAGACAGACATACACACAGAGGGAAGAGACCACAGGAGGAACCGTCTACACGCCAAGGAACGCCCGGGGCTGCTGACCAGGAAGGACCGGTGCCCTGATTTGGACATCTAGCCTCTAAAACTGAGAGACAATTGCTGCTCTTTAGAGCATCCACTTGGGCCATTTATGTTCCCACAGCACTAGGAAGCTAAGACAGGGTGTTAAGGCCCCATGGGGCTGAGGCACCCTTTCCTGGTCCTGGTTGTTCCCCGTCCCTCTAGTCTTGGCCCGAAGGAGCAACCCCTGAAGACGTCAGGCTGGTGGAAGGAACTTGGGGTTCTCATGTCACTAGCTCTCTCATATTGAGCATGTCTGTCAAACAGCCCTCAGCGCCCCCCCCCCGACCCCAACTCCCTGGAGGGGCAAGCGGTGCTTGGGTCCCACCTGGGTCCCTGCTCTCTCTCCCACACCCATCTGTCCCCAGCTGTGTCCTTAGCCCCCAGCTCAAAAATTGACTTAGGACTGGGACAAAGGAGTCTGAGAGTGGGAATGGAGGTGGCAGGAGTCTGTTGGGGCCGCATGGCCCCTCTCCCTTCCCAGCCCAGGTAACCTGAGCCCAGCATTGTGTCCATCCTGACAGCTGACAATGCTGTGGTCAGACAGCTGGTGGGGCCTGGTGGGGCAGGCTGGCGGCGGGGTGGGAGTGAGGAGTGTGTCACATGAGACCTGGAGTCGCATCGATCTGTCCCGGCCTCTGGAGCTGCCATCCTGCACGCGCCGCCGCTGTGGAGAGCTGAGGCGCCATGCGTGGGGGCGGGGGGCTGCTGCTGTTCCTGCCGCTGCTGGCTGGTGGCCTGGGTGTGGACACAGGGCACCAGGGGCCTGGGGGGCTGCGGCAGGGACCCGAGGGACAGAACCGGTGTCTGGAGGGCTCCTGGGCCTGCCCCACCCCAGTCCCCTGCTTCTCCGTGGTCCCCAACCCTGTCTGCCTCGAAGCCCTTTGCCCTGCTCATGGCTGTCCATTGTAGGAGCCCAGGGCCGGAACCAGGAGGAGCGCCTGCTCGCAGACCTGATGCGCAACTACAACCCCCACCTGCGGCCCGCCGAGGACGAGGCTGATGTGGTCAATGTCAGCCTGAAGCTCACCCTCACCAACCTCATCTCCCTGGTGAGCCCCAGCCTGGGGAGGGACGGGCTCAGGGAGCGCGGGCTGCTTGGGAGGAGGGCCAGGGCTGGGCTTAGCCCTCCGTTCTGCACCCCAAGAATGAGCGTGAGGAGGCCCTCACCACCAACGTCTGGATAGAGATGGTAAGAGGCTGTCTGCCACCCTGCTTCCCACCCTGGGCCCCCAAGGGTCTCGGAGAGCCGATTGCCCACCCCCCACCCTTGCCTCTGCTGTCCTGCCTGGACTGGACCCCCATTCCGTTCTGGGGTGTGGGTGTGGGGCAATGGGCAGAAGAGGCTTGGCAGCTTCCCCTCACACACAGCAATGGTGTGACTACCGGCTGCGCTGGGACCCGCGAGACTACGAGGGCCTGTGGGTGCTTCGAGTGCCGTCCACCATGGTGTGGCGGCCGGATGTCGTGCTGGAGAACAAGTGAGGCAGGGGCTTGTTGGGGGGGCGCCCAGCAAGGGGCCTGGGAAAGCTGGAGATGGTGCAGGTGCTGTGCGCATGCCCAAGTATGACCTCTGACCTCAGGGCCAGTAGACCTAGTTCTAGACAGGCTCCATCACCTCTGGGCTGGGCCAGCTGGGGGTCACTTCTGCTCTCTGGGGCTGTCCCTTAAGTTCCCATGACCTGGAGACTTCAGTGGCACCTACAGAAGGGCTGTGAGGCTTCAGCTGGATGGACAGGGAGCGTGCCCAGCTTAGCTCTAGCCCATTTTGAGGCTTACCAGATGTTAGTGGCCATCATTACCATTCTTGTAATGATTAAAGAGGTTAGAAGGCAGGGGCCCTGCCTGGGGTGGGGGGAGCAGGGAGATGTGGGGGAGATAGTGGTTCCTGTGGCCAGGTGGGGACCAGCCTGGGGCATGGCAGACTGGGAGGGCGTGGCATCCCCTGGCCCCGCCCATATCAGGGCCAGGCTGGTTTGGCCACAGGGCCTCTGCCAGGGCTGGGTATGAAGCCTAGCCCTGTGGCCTGGCTGTGCCTGCAGCGTGGACGGCGTGTTCGAGGTGGCCCTCTACTGCAACGTTCTTGTGTCTCCCGACGGCTGCATCTACTGGCTGCCGCCCGCCATCTTCCGCTCCTCCTGTGCCATCTCTGTCACCTACTTCCCCTTCGACTGGCAGAACTGCTCCCTCATCTTCCAGTGAGGCCATGTATGGGGGGCGGGGGTGGGGGCAAAGGCGAGCCCTGGGTGGCCCAAACGGTTACGCGTGTGACGACTAACCGAAAGGTTGGCAGTTCGAACTCACCCAGAACAAAGGCCTTGCAAGCTACTTCCCAGAGGTCACAGCCCTGAAGCCCTGTGGAGACCAGTTCTACCCTGACACAAACTGGGTCACCAGGAGTTGGACTGACTTGATGGCAACTGGTTTATTTTTGGGGGTGGTGGTGAAGGAAGGTCACCTTGGAGGTGTGCCTGAGTTGGTAGGGGACCTAGGGAGCTGCTCTAAGAAGGGCCTGGACAGGTGTGGCAGGGCCCTGGCCCTGGGGGAGAGGTGAGGCTTCTGGCCTCTTCTCAGTCACCACCTGGAGGCCCCAGGCAGGCCCCCACCTCTCCAGGGCCTCTGTGCCATCTCTGAAGATGCCCCAGCCCCCTCACTCATCCTCAGTTTCCCTGCCTGTGCCCAAGGGGAGAAATTCATGTCTGGGGTGGGTGGGTGAGAAGATGTGCACATGCATACAGCATACATGAGTGCACACGTGTGTGCTAGTGCACACGTGTGTACGCTACACACAAGACCAAACGCACTCACAGGCAGAGGGCTGTCTTGTCAGGGATGAAGAATCCGGGCCTGAACCCTCTATATGTGACCCAAGCCACATGGGGGGTGAGGGAGTGTCCCTGGGTCCTAGTTTCCCCGTCCATAGATGTGGGGAGAAAGTCTGGGTGACTAGGGTGGCAGAAACAGTTAAGCGCTCCACTATTAGCCAAAAGGTTGGTAGTTCAAACTCACTCAGAGACACTCAAAAGAGGAGCCTGGCCAATCTGCTTCCAAAAGGTCAGCCCTGAAACCCTACGGAGCACACAGGGTTGCCAGGAGTCAGAACCGTCTCCATGGCAACTAATGACAACAACGTCTTTGACAAAGGGGGGCCTTGGAGTATGGCATACTTCCCCCCAGCATACAGCCCCGAGAGCAGCTCTTTGGGTAGGAATTTATTTCTTATGTTCTCGTCGGCCAGCAGTGGGAGAGATGCCAGGGGCTGGATGAATACAAGGTTGGTCCTGGCCTCTTAGCTACCAGACAGTGGCCCCCCAACTTGCACTTTCCCCGACCCCCAAGAGCCTCAACTCCCTTCCACAACACTGCCCGGTGTTTCTGTGGCAAACTCAGAAGCATGGAGCTGCAATTTCAAAGGCTACACTGCCCGGAGTTGCCCTTCCGGGGCCTGCTCCTTATCATCTTTCCCACCAACTCCCAGGTCCCAGACTTACAGCACCAACGAGATCAATTTACAGCTCAGCCAGGAGGACGGGCAGACCATTGAGTGGATTTTCATTGACCCCGAGGCCTTCACAGGTACCTGTACCCGGGGCTCCTGGAGCAGTCTTGCCCAGGGCCCTTCCTGGACCCGGCTGCAGGGCCAGAGTCCAATCAAGCCTTAGGGACCAAGCACTGACAAGATTGTAATTCCTATGTAATTCAATATAAAAACTGTCCTAAACGCTGGATGGTTCAAATGGTTAAGGCATCGACTACGAGCTGAAAGGTTGGTGGTTCACACTCACCCAGAGGCACAAAGGAAGTAAGGGCTGCCAGTCTGCTTCTGAAAGGCCACAGCCCTGAAAACCCCATGGAACAGTTCCACTCAGCACACGGGGGCGTTAGGAGTCAGAACTGACTTGAGTGCAACTCAAAACAACAAACCATGAAACAAATGTTTTAAAAGGTCTGACCAAGTTCTGATTCTCCCCAGGAAAGTTACTTCAGTGTTGGGGGGGGTCAGATAACCAACCTCCTGCCCCATCGTCTGGCCCCACGGTGCCCCCTTCGTCCTCCCCATGCCTGCCCCTGCTGCCCACAGAGAACGGGGAGTGGGCCATCCGGCACCGGCCCGCCAAGATGCTGCTGGACCCGGCGGCGCCAGCGGAGGAGGCGGGCCACCAGAAGGTGGGCTTCTATCTGCTCATCCAGCGCAAACCCCTCTTCTACGTCATCAACATCATTGCCCCCTGCGTACTCATCTCCTCCGTCGTCATCCTCATCTACTTCCTGCCTGCCAAGGGTACCTGGAGCGTGGTGGGGGGAGCCGTGGCCCCGTCGGCAGCACAGGGGACAGCTGGGTGGCTGGAGGGGCACCACGACCCAGGAGCGGGTGGTGGGCTCCCTCACACTGGGGAGGCTGAGCCTGCTGAGTAGCCTCTTGGTGTTGGGCAGCGGGTGGCCAGAAGTGTACTGTTGCCATCAATGTTCTCCTGGCCCAGACCATCTTCCTCTTCCTGGTGGCTAAGAAGGTGCCCGAGACCTCCCAGGCTGTGCCACTCATTAGCAAGTATGACAGTCCTCGCCTGCCCACCTGCCTACCTCCTCCCCTCCCTCCTTGAGGACTGCTGGCACTGCCCATCTGCCAAGCCCCACTCCCCACCATTCTCAAAGCAGACGCCTGCCCCCAGGGGACCTGGAGGTGGGGGTGGCTAAGAGCCAGCCTGGCCTCCTGCCCCCACAGGTACCTGACTTTCCTCCTGGTGGTGACCATCCTCATTGTCGTCAACGCCGTGGTTGTCCTCAACGTGTCTTTGAGGTCCCCACACACACACTCCATGGCCCATGGGGTCCGCAAGGCAAGGTCCCTTCCCCAGCGTCCTCTCACCCGGTGCACACACACGTGCGCCCACTACTCCCTGTCCCCATCCATATTCCTCACCTGTCCCACTCAGCAGCATATCTGTACCCAGCATGCTTGAAGCCTTTGCCAAGGTGGATAAATAATAATGATATTAGGGGCTATGGGACAGACACCGTGCTGAACACCTTACTCACATTTAATCTTCATAAAAACTCCATGAAGCGGACATACCATCACCCTTGGGACGGGAAACTGAGGCACGCACATGGTAACTAGCTTGCCCAGAGGCGTATGGGTAGAAAGTGGAGGAGGTAGTATTTTTACAAAGACAGACCCCTAGGCAGCAGATAAGCTGGGGCCCAGGAATCTGTGTTTGCAGTACAGACCTCAATGATCATGATGTGCCCAGAAATTTGAGGTCACAGCTCAGTTTTGGGCACAGGAGAATCCAGCTGGACCCAGCCACTGCCCCTCACCTGCTGCCCCTGGCAGCATAAGGCCTCCATACCAGCCTCCAGCGCCTTCCCAGCAGCCTGGCTAGCCTAAGGCCTGCCGGCCACCCTGACCAGCGCCCCCCACCCCCTGCACCCAGGTGTTCCTGCGGCTCCTGCCCCAGCTGCTTGGGATGCATGTGCGCCCACTGGGCCCAGCGGGGGTGCAGGACACCCGGCCCCGCCTACAGAATGGCTCCTTGGGGCAGTGGACAGCAGCCAGGGAGGAGGTGACTCCACACATGCCTCACAGCGAGCTGCTCTTCCGGCAGCGGAATGGGCTGGTGCAGGCCGCGCTGGAGCAGCTCGGTGAGGCCCAGGGACTTGAGAGGGCTGCAGTTCCCAGGGCCTCCAGAAGGGAGGCTGGCTGGCGGCCAAAGTGCCAGGCACAGCAGATGGGTGATGGGCAAGTGTGCAGGGCTGGGGTCCCTTGAGAGAGGCCACCTTCTCTGCCTGTGTCCCTTCCCTTCTACACCCAAAGCTTGTTCTCTTTCCTCTTCAGAGAAAGGCCCAGACCCAAGGCAGAGCCAGGAGTTCTGCGGTAGCCTGAAGCAGGCCGCCCCGGCCATCCAGGCCTGCGTCGAAGCCTGCAATCTCATTGCCAGAGCCCACCACCAGCAGACTCACTTTGACAGTGTAAGCCAGGGGGAGGGGAGGCATGGGGGTGAGTACCTGCCAACGAAGGGCTCGGACCTGGGGTAGAGGCAGGACAAGTAAGGGTTCAAGGTGGGGTGGTGGGTGGAAAAAGTGGAGTTGATGTTGGCCAAGGGTCCTTCCAAGGGATCCAGGGCAGGTTTGGGTCCACCATAGGTCATCCCACATGCTGCCTCCTGCCTTCAGGGGAACAAGGAGTGGTTCCTGGTGGGCCGTGTGCTGGACCGTGTCTGCTTCCTGGCCATGCTCTCCCTCTTTGCCTGTGGCACCGCTGGCATCTTCCTCATGGCCTACTACAACCAGGTGCCTGCCCTGCCGTTCCCTGGAGACCCCCGCCCCTACCTGCCCTCACCTGACTGAGCCAACCAACCACGGCTGGGCACAGGGGCATCACGGTGCAGAATCTCAGCAGCTGTGTTGTGTTCCGCTGAGGGCATGAGTGTGCTCGTCAAGGCCTGAGAAAATAAAGAAACAGAGCTGGAGTCTGGAGTGTGGGGACAGGCTGTGGGCAGGGGGTGCCGTTGGGGTCAACATCCACGTGGCATTGGCTAGCTAGCCCTGGTTCTCCCACCCCTCCGCTGAGCAACCTCCTCACCTCAGTAGAGCATTTTCGACTCCCATCCATCTTTGAGGCCCTGAGGGCTCTGTTCTGTATGACGCCCCCAACTCGGAGAAGTCCTCTCCTCCAGGCCTTAGCCTGGCAGCCCTTTTATTTATTTCCCCCCAGGCTCCTGAAGGAGGGATGTCAGGAGAGATGATGCTCACTCCAACTGGTGTTTCCTCCCTGTGCTGTCTGGGTGTGGTGGCCCCCATACTCACCGGCACCTGTAACTTTCTCAGTCACATACACTTTTTGCCATGGATCACAAAAGATTTCTTGAGTTGTAGTATCTTTTTGTTGTTTAGAAGAGAGCTTGTCACAGCATTGTGGACAAGAAGAACCACTATTACATTTCAAATGTGCAAACTGAGGCCCCGAGTAAGAGAAGCTTTTTAGAACGCTGGTATGAGTCCAGAATTCCTGTCTCTGACCCAGTCTCAGACGCTGTAAGAATGCTTCTGCGCCCTGGAAAACTGCACCCTTCTTCCTTCTCTTCTCAAAAGCTGGGGTGTTTTGCACTGGTTCCAAAGGATGGTTAGTTCAAGGGAAGGGCAGCCAGGCAGGGAGGCTTACAGTTACAGGCAACCGCTTTGCCTCCTGAGATGGGTCGCTGACCTGCCTCCCTAAGCCCCATTTATCATGAAATACGATGACCAGCTGAGTCTTCCTGGGGAGGAGGCAGGACCTGCTCTGAGAGGACAGTTGGGGCCTTGGACATGTCACTTCCTTTCCCTGAGCCTGTTTCCTCCTCTGCAATATGGGCACTGGTGTCAGTTCCTGTCTTCTCTCAACAACCCCAGGATCAAAGGTGTGAGTGAGAGTGATTAAAAAAAATGTACAAATGCCACATAAAAGCCTGACAATGAGCCACAGGGGTTGGGGGAGGAGAGAGAGCCCTGGAAATGACCCCGGTGCAGGGTTGCTGGCTCTGGAGCACTTCACTTACGCCTGTGCACATGTGGACCCTCCTGCCGGTGCCCAGCTAGAGCTGAGGCTGGGTCTCTGTGCGGGGGCCTCAGCTCTGGAGGGCTTGATGGAGCAGGGCAACCTCCCGCCTCTTACTAGCCTTGTCACCTAGGGTGAGTCTCTTAAACTTCGGAATGCCTCACAGGGCAGAGATTAGGTACTGGCTCTGGTAGCATAGTGGCTAAGACACTTGTCTGCTAACCAGACGGCTGGCGGTTCAAACCCACCAGCCACTCCTCGGAAGGAAGGTTGGGCAATCCTACTTCCGTAGTGATACTGCCTCGGAAACCCAAGGAGGGGTCGCTATGAGTCGGGTTTGACTCGACGGCACATAACAACAACAACCAGCATAACAATACAGTAGAATCCAACCAACTGTGGATCAAAAATATTCAGGAAAAAAAAAAAAAAACTCCAGATAACAAAACTTGAATTTGCCACGCGACTGGCACTACAGTGCACCAGGCCCCTGCTATGGTTTCCCACCCTTGTACAGATCCCAAGTGGCTCTCCAGCATTCTTTGAACATTATCCACCTGGAGTCCCCTTCATTTGCTACTTATGTGCACCCTTTGTTTCTGTGAAAAATAAAATGGCTTTTAAAAAAGTGGCATACTGTCTAAGGCATTTGACTGCTAACCAGAAGACTAGCAGTTCAAACCCACCAGCTACTCCTCGGAAGGAAGATTGGGCAATCTACTTCTGTAGTGATACTACCTGGGAAACCCAAGGATGGTCGCTTTGAGTGGAAATAGACCAGACGGAAATGAGTTTGGTTTTTTTGGGAAAAAAAATGATTAAGTGGTCAAAGCAATCGCTATTTACACAACACTTATATTGTATTAGCTATTATGAGTAATCTAGAGATGATTTACAGCATATGGGAGGATGGGTGTAGGTTATATGCAAATACTATGCCATTTTACGTAAGATACTGGAGCATCCACAGATTTTGGTAGCCACGAGGGTCTTGGACCCAATCCCCCACGGATACCTACCAAGGGATGACTGGAGTTATTTTCTTAACAAGGAAAAACAACAGTTACTGAAATAGGACCAAACGCAGGTCCCTGCCCCATGTGCAGTCAGGCCAAAACAGTTTACATACCAAGTGTGTTAGATTGGGTTCTCTAGAGAAACACAAAAACCAGCAAAGTGTATATATATATTTAGAGAGAGAGAGAGAGAGAAATTTATCTTAGGAAAATGGCTCACAAGCGTATAGGAGCCGACAAGTCCAAGTCGAAAAGTCCAAGTCTCTGGAGGAGATGGGGCTTGCGGCCGCCTTGGCTTCCGCAAGCACAGGGGAGCTGAGAGATTCAAGCTGGCTTGCAGTACACTGGTTGTTGACTCCAACAAAAGACGAATCCGAGATCTCCAGGCCGAGCGGTGGGCTGTTCACTCATGGAAGTCTGTAATTCGCACACCAGCGTTCCAACCCCTTAAGGAATGCGGCTCTTCCAGGATGTCCTTGGATATCATTGCAAGCAGGCCACACCCCTAGGGAAACTCCCCTTGGGCAGACTGGCCACTCAGAACACAGTCATCTGATCCCATCATGGGAACAACCACACCGAACTGGGGTCCAGCCAAGTTGACACACAGCTCCAACTATCACACCAAGTGATTAAGAGGAGAGAAAATTATTTATTGCAAAGCGGCAATGCAAGGAGGCAGGGGTACCCATACCCAGATCTGACTCCCTGAAACTCCATCGAATTACAGTTTTGTAGGCTTCAGAAGAGAGGGTTATGAATATCCATAAAAATTTCAGGAATTTGGGTGTGAGATGGTTGACCATTGGCTGAAATTTCTTCTGCCTGGGTTTAAAGGGACAGTAGCATTTTGACCCAGTGCGCTTGTGTACTGGATGAGTCACACCAGCTTCTAGTCATCAGCTGATCAGGGCTTAGGCAGAGGAGAGAGTGTTAGTTCCCAGTAACTTTGTTCCTCTCTGTCCCACTGTGCATGTCCGGGCCAGAGTTAGTTTTCAAGTTATTTTCTAAGACACATTAACATGTTTATTACCTGTGTCTAAGGAAATAGCAGGAAAGATTTTTTTTTTCCATTCAGTTCTTAAGGAACTAAGCTTGTTATATTTACTTACCTGTCTCCAACCGGGGTCCTATGTGTTTTACTCATCTATCTCCAACCGTGGTCAGGGGTGAGGAAATAATTGAGGGTAATTAAGTTTACTTATCTATTCCCATCTGGGGTCCTATCCTAATTATCTGCCTTAACCAGGGTGGGGAAATAGTTTTGACTTTACTTGGTTTCATTACCATTTATTAAGGGTTACTTGTATTAGGCTAGGAGCTCTGGTGGTTTAGTGCCTAAGGCACTTGACTGCTAACCAGAAGGCTGGCGGTTCAAACCCACCAGCCATTCCTCGGAAGGAAGATGAGGCAATCTACTTTCGTAGAGATACTGCCTCGGAAACCCAAGGAGGGGTCGCTATGAGTTGGTCTGACTCCAGGGCACATAACAACAACCACGACCACCACCTGGGAAACCCAAGGAGGGGTTGCTATGAGTCGGAGCCCACGCCTCGGCAGTGAGTTTGGTTTTCTTTTTTTTTTTTAAAACTAGATATTGTGTCCAGTGTTTGACATTGATAATCTTGTGGATTACACGCTGCAAAAGGTAGGTGGTGTAGTAACCTAGCCTTAAAGAAAACAAACCAAAGTCACAGTTATCTAGTCGATTCCGACTCATAGCGACCCCCCATAGGGTTTCCGAGGCGATAAATCTTTACGGATCCTAGCCTTGGAAAGGTGGAAAGGTTACGGGAAGATACCAGGTATCCCTTCTCTGCACAGAGGCTCGAGGTAGGAGGCAGGATAATCAGCAGGTGGTGATTACAGAAGGAGCCCTGCTGGTGCTGGCTGCTAACAGAAAGGTTGGCAGTTGAAAACCACTAGTGACTGCGGGAGAAAGGCTTGGCAATCTGCTCCGGAAAAGATTACAGCCTAGGAAAGCCTATGGAGCTCGTTCTACTCGGTCACAGAAGGTCACTATGAATCGGAATCCACGCCGTGGCACACAACAAAGTGAGTGCAGAGGCTGCGCCCTCAACTCCGCGAGGGTACTTTCTGCGAGCCCGCTGCAGGCACGGCCCAGGACATGCTTCCTAGGAGCACAGGAGGTGCGGACACGCAGGACCCGGACAGCGCCAGCGCCACGGCCGCAGCCCCGCCCCCGCCGAGCGCTGCCACGCAGCCGCCCTCCGCGGGCGTCCCGGGATTCCCGCCCCCCGCCGGGCCTGCGCGCCGACGTTCCGCTGCTCCTAGCGCTACCGGAAGTGGCCGGGCCCAAGGCGGAGGGACCCGGCCGAGCGGAAGTCACTCCGTGAGGCAGTGGCGAAGGCGGCGGTGAGAGGATGAACAACAAGTTCGACGCGTGAGTAGCGCGTGGCCGTCTCCCTCCCCCGGGTCCCTTCCCCCAGCCGTTCCCCTGCGCCTGCCCCCGCCAACCGCGGCGCACACTGTGTCCCTCGGCCCTCCAGACTCGAGTTGTGGGCCGGCCGGGCCCAGGCGGCCAGCGGGGAGGAGGGGGCCGAGGGTGCAAGGTGCAGGGGTCCTGAGGACCCCAGGGCCGTCCGGGCTGAGGGCGAAGCGCGGCGGCCGGGAAAGGGTGGCCGTGCCGCCGGGGAGATTTTCGGACGCCCCGCCCCGCTGGGTGCCGGTTGCCAGCGGCGTGGAGGGTGGAGACCTCGGCGGTTTGGGTGTTTCCTCAGCCTTGCCTCCTAGCCTCTGAGTCCAGCTTTCTTCCCAGACTCTCTGTAGCTTGGGCTGTGGGCTGGTCACCTCTCCTTTGTGAGCCTCAGTTTTGTCATCTGCGAAATGGGGTCTTTGGCAGAGCAGTGAGGTAATGTGACTGTGGGATCAGCACAGTGGCTGCCCAGTTAGGGAATTCTTATCGTCTTCTGAGACTTCTGCCTCTTTCCTTTCGCCTGCCCCCCGCCTTCCCTTCTTCCAACACTCTTCCCAAGAGCTGGTCAGTTTCTTGCCCAACTGGTCTACTTGGTCATTGCTTTCTAACGCTTCTGCGGGTGCCCCCATTCCTAGTTCAAATATCGTGCAACTGGGAAGTGCAGGGAGGGACAGGGAGCTCTGGTAGCGTAGTGCCTAAGGCACTTGACTGCTAACCAGAAGGCTGGCCGTTCAAACCCACCAGCCGCTCCTCGGAAGGAAGATGGGGCAATCTACTTCCGTAGAGACACCTATTGCCTCGGAAACCCAAGAAGGTGTGGCTATGCATCCGATCCGACTCCACGGCAGTGAGTTTGGTTTTTGAGGGAGGGAAACGTAAAAAGTGCTTTTGCGCATTTCCCGGCAGCCATTGTATCTTTGTTGTTATGTGTCGTCGAGTCGGACCGACTCAGCGACCCCTCCTTGGGTTTCCGAGGCAGTATCACTACGGAAGTAGGATTGGCCAACCTTCCTTCCGAGGAGTGGCTGGTGGGTTTGAACCGCCAGCCTTCTGGTGAGCAGTCAAGTACCTTAGGCACTATGCTACCAGAGCTCCCTATCTTCCTAGGTAGATGATATTCTTACCTTCCTTCTGGTTGTGTTAGACATCTATAGTACATCTGCCTTCTCTAGATTTCCAATCCAGACCCACCAGCATTTTGATAGCGGGGAAGGTTACCCAGCCTCCAGCTGGCGGTTTTTGCCCAAACTCCTCAGTGGTTGGTTCCCCTCTGTCTCACTGGGGTGTGATAAGGACTGAATTACATTCAGCCAAGTTTAAACAGAGTTTGTGAATTGCCAACCATTGTTAGTTGCCTTGGGGTCAGCTCTAACTCTTGGTGACCTTGGGTGTGACCTTATGCGTTGGGTGATCCTGTACCAGCATCACAACCCTTGCTGGCTTTGAGCTCGTTGAGCCTCCATAGCAGTGGGTTTAGTTCAGAACTGCTGAGTAATGAGGTATAGTGCACATTGGACCTGCTAGGAGTTTAGGTGGTGACCTGCTTGGGGTTTTCCCCATATAGTGAGTACGGGGGTATAGATGCAGGGGTGCTGGGTCCCCTGGACTGTTTGCTAGTGGCTGAGAGGTCTGTACTACTTGAGAAAATTTGGCAGAACCCTTCCTCAGTCTGTTGCTGTTTAGCTAACCCCATGCCCAATCATAAGCCTAGCAATTCTGAGCTCCAGATCTAAGCTCAGTTGTGCTTTCTGCCTCCTCCTACCCCTACCTCAGCTGACTGGAGTAAATCAGAATTGCATCTTAAGGAGGCGCTTTGTGGATCTTCTGGTCCAGGCCTACCCAAATCACTTGAGGATATTCAGTCAACTAAGGAGAAGAATGGATCTCGTTGGATACTTTGCATATATTGATTTGATCCCTTTTAACTACCTTGTAAAGGGGATATTGTTAACTCCTTTAATAGACAAGGAAAATGAGGCTCTCTGAGGTTGAGTAATTTGCCCAGGACAACAGGAAGGGCCATATGGTGGGATTCAAACCTAGGTTTGTTGTTGAACCTTGGTTCGAGCACTTTGGGGACAACATAATTCACCAGAGTCATTTTTAAGTTCTAATCATTAACTTTTCCTTATACTGAGCCAGAAATTTTTAAATACCTGTTCCCTAGCTATGCAGAAAAAGAACCAGAGCTTTTTTTCCCTTTGAAATCCGCAATTCAGAACAGCACCATGCCCCAGTTTTGTTTCTCATGCCAAAATTCTGCAGTTTTTAGACCATCCTTACATCTTTTGGAGTCTTTTCTTCACCGCATCGCTCCTCAGAACATGTTCCGGTTTGCTGGAAGTCCGGTGCCTGGAGCTGAGTCCAGTAGTAGAATCTAACGGGCTCTGATCACTGTTGGATCATCTATGAATGTAACCTGAGGTCGTAATTGCTAGGGTTGTTTTGGTAGACCCATCAAGGTGTTAACTTCCTTTGCCTTTGATCCTATTAACACGTGAAGCCTTTAACCTGCTTTCCCTGGGACAGTTGTCCCAACTGCCATGAGTTTTGTACCCATCCTACATTATTCTGTTCGTTTTAGGCCCGTTCTCAACTATCATCTGAACCGCTCATTTAGCATTACCCATACATACTACCTTGGGTGGCTTTGATTTTAAAAACTTATCCATTAAACATGTGTTTGTTTTATGTCACTGTCTACTGCTGGAGATTGAAAGATGAATTAGATGGAGTTTCTACCCTCAAGGAATGGTCTAGTCATGGATGAGCAGAAACTGGGTGAGCTCACAAGGTGTCACGCAGTCTGGAACATCACAGAGATGATCACTGTGTCCAAGTTGAGGGAGCGCTGAGCTTTCCGTCTGGATTGCATCTTGGCTCCCATCCAGCGTTCACCTGGGATAGTAGCCCCTGGAAGAGAGAATGCGAATGGCTTGCCTAGAGTAGGCTCAGGGTGGGGGTTGGGGGGGATTGGTGAGCTCTGCCTTCAAGAAATAAAAGCACTACACAAACCTGAAGCCTCTTTAGGACTTCTGTTTACATCCCTGAGGGGAGGTGGGAGGTAAGTGCCCCCCCAAGGGAGCAGTGGCGTAATTCTTCATTATTTTTTGTCACACCTTTTCTGTTTCCTAAAAGCGATTAGCAGCGAAGCCAGTAACAAGAAATGAATTTAAGTGCTTTGCTTTGGGGCTAGGAAATGCTTGGGTTGCTGTGCCTCTCTTCAACCCAGATTTAAAGGGAGGGAACCCCGGAGTATATAGTGGGGTTGGGAGCTGAGGAGAGAGGAAAACAGTGTGCATCCCTGGGGGTGGCCCTAAAGAAGAGAGCTAAGCTGTAGAAAACCCCGTAGTGTGGTCTTGGTCAGGAGACAGCTGGCTGTTATGGAATAGGTGGGACACGGTCAAGCATTGATACGGGGCGCTTGAGAAGAGGGGAGGCTGAGTTAGAGGTGAGAGAATGTTTCCAAGAGGATGTCTGTCATGTGCCCCCCACCCCCACCCCACGTTTGAGTCCTGAAGGACAGGTTAGCTGGGAAAGAGGGCCTTTCTGAGGAGAGATCACATCGTGTGACAGGGAATTGCAAATAGGTTCACATGGCTGGAGTGAAAAGAGTCTGTTGGGACCAGGCAGAAGATGGCATTGGGACACGTGTAGGCTCAGTTGGGGCCAGACATCTCCAGGCCTTTGTCTCATGCTGAGGCATGAATGCAGGTATACCTCATCTCCTCAAGTAGGGTTCTTGGGGACAGGCACTCTGTCTCTTGGTTCTTCTTAGAAGCTGATACATGCAGTAGATGCTCTATAATGCTCGTGTTTAATCCTCGAGGCTTGTGGACTCCAGGCTTCTTTGCGAAAGGAAACCAGATCAAGTCAAGTTGTATTATAAGCACAGATCTGGTCTCACTGAGGGCCAGGGAAAGCTGCCCCAGGCAGAGGGACAAACGCCGTACCCCCTCTGATTTCCACTCACCGGCTCCTCTCTCCCTCCTGCGCTTTCTCTGCTTTTGCACATTGGCTTTATTCCCTCGTGGAGTTTCATGTCTGGATCCTCTGGCAGCCCCACCTCCTGAGTGTGTGACCATTCATCTCTTGGAAGAAAAGCTGAGGAGGAAACCTGCAAGGATTTTTGAAGGCCCTGCGGCATAGGTTAATGCCAGGCTGGTCAGGTGCCCTTCGTAGGCCTGTGTCTTGGTCAGGGTGGAAACGGGGAGAGTCATGGCACAGGGCACAACCACTCAGTATATTCAACAGTTAGGGCTGTGAAATGGGCAGGGCAGGCACTCCCAAACATGGCTACTTCATCTGCTCTAATGTGTATTCTGCCTTTTTCATACATTAAGCACTGGGAATTCATAGGCAAAAAAACAAAAGACTATAACACATTTCCATGTCTGTGTAGGGTAATATCATTTGAGTATAATTTGAGCACTTCCAGTATCTTTCTTGAGAATCGCCTAATCGTTTCACTGTACATGAGTCATTAGGGCCCACAAGGTGATTTCTGAGAAGAGCCATGGTGGGTTAATGGTCTAGCTCTACAGTAAATAGCATTCTTCTTGTCTTTGTGAACTTCCTTTTTGCTTATCTTTTTTTTTATTTTCAATCCAGTGAACTTCCGGTGTACTTGAATGCCTTGGTAATGTCACTCCTAAAAGGGTAGCGCACAAGATGCATTTGACTCTGTTGTTCTAAGACAAGAGAATATTTAGTCCTTCTTTCAGGCATTTTTCTTCCTTTTCATTCAGCATTGATTGAGCATCTTCTGTCTTCAGTGCTAGAGACCTAGATGAGTAAGACACTGCTTTAAGGAAACAACACACATGCCCCCTCGTTCAGTGGGAACAACAGGTGTGGAAGGAGCAGCACCTCAGGTTGACAGGGTGTGCAGAGTAACAGGGTGCTCTGGAGGAGGGAGAGGGTAAGGGGATGCCATTGGGAGGCAGGCAGGAGTTGGATTCTAGAGGATCTTACTTTCCTTGTACTCTATCCTGAAGGATTGTTGTTGTCGTTGTATGCTGTCGAGTCAGCCCAGACTCCCAGTGACCCCTCCTTGGGTTTCTGAGGCGATATCACTACGGAAGTAGATTGCCCAACCTTCCTTCCGAGGAGTTTGAACTGCCAGCCTTCTGGTTAGCAGTCGAGTGCCTTAGGCACTATGTTACCAGAGCTCCTATCCCGAAGGATAGGTGTCAAAGACTAAGGGGTCTTTGAGAGTTTCAGGCAGGTACATGGGCAGATTTACACTTAGAAAGATCATGATAGTGGCAGTGTGGTGGGTGACTATAGGGTGAAAGATTGGAGTGAGGGAGACCATTTAGGAGTTTATTGTAACAATTGAGATGACCAGAAAAGAGGGCCTGAATGAAGCAGTCTCAATGGAGAAGGGTGCATAGAGGAGCTGGTCAGAAGAAGTGGAAAAAGAGATGGGTATATTTTTTAAATTCACTTGAAATGCCAAAACTCACTCAAAACAAAACTCACTGCCATCGAGTCAATTCTGACTCAGTGACTCCCATTGGGTTTTCGAGGTGATAAATCTTCACAGAAGTGGATCGCCCAGTCTTCCTTCTGTGGAGTGGCTGACGGATTTGAACCACCAGCCTTCTGGTTAACAGTCAAATGCTTTAGGCACCATGCCGCCAGAACTCCTTTGAAATACCAAAGCAGTTATTTAATCCAGATGCTAGTCTCATTATTGACTCTTTGTTTTTGGCAAAGAAAACAATCCTTTAAATTGTTTGCCTCTTGTTTCCCTTTTGGCCTGTTAAAAAATGGCAGACAGTGCTTTGTGGAGGTGGCCAGTCAGCAGATTGGCCTTTTGTTTGTGTTGAACGTGTCTCTTACTTTTCTTTGTTCCCCTGACCTTACCTCATGTGCATCTCCTTTTGAGTGACTTCAGGTTGGTTACATGGTAGTTTGTGTGAGCTGGTGGCTCTGTTCAGTTAAGTGAGAATCAGCTTAGTCATAGGATGACATTGTTTTGCTTTCCCATTCAGCTTGAAAGATGATGACAGTGGGGACCATGACCAGAATGAAGAAAACAGCACACAGAAAGATGGTGAGAAGGAAAAAACGGAACGAGACAAGAGTCAGACCAGCAGCAAGAGGAAGGTGAGTCTGTACTGCATGGGGAGGTTGCCTCTGGCTTTGAGACACTTGGGTATCTTGGGGACTCTGTCTGTCTGGTAGATAGCAGATTGATAGGGCAGCAGCCTGTTTGGATCGTAGAATCATGGAGTTCATTTTGGGGTTTAGCACTTTCTCCTGCCACAGGGTCTTGAAGTGCTGTCTTCTTGCCCTCATTCTCCTAGTCTGAGGTTGGGGATCATAACAGTAGAAGTTAGTAAGGCTGGGTGTTGCCTCATAAGCGGCTGCTGAATATTTAAAATCCTGTGTGCCCCTTGCAATGGAAGGCTCTTTATTTTTTAGTTAATAGTAGTCTACACTGAAAGTGAGTTGAAGGAAAAAAAAAAAGCTCAGAGAATGGGAGGTAGTTGGATCCATTTTTTCCTTGAAATATCAGGGCAGTCATTCATTCTATAATATCGAGTTCTCTCTGAGTGCAAGCATTGTGCCAGGTACTAAGAGCACATAGAGGTAAGTAAGACTGCTCCAAGGAGCTTCCAGTCAGTGGTACCAATAATAACAGTGGCTGGCTTTTATTGAGCACTTCCTACATGCTAGGTGCTGTGCTAAGCATTGTACATGTATTAACCCACTTGATCTTCTCTGCAGCCCTGTGGAGTGGGCATTATTATTTTTCCCACTTTGCAGATTGAAAACTAAGGCGTGAACAGGTTAAACAGCTGGCCCAAGGTCACATGCCAGTACACGGTAGAATGTCATAGAAAAGGCAGTGCTTGGGCTGGGAGTACATTCAGATAAGATATACATATAAATGTCTATAACGGGTGGTAGAGAGTTACAGAAGCTGTAAGAACAAGGAATTTAGAATCAGTTGAGACTAAAGAAATTTCATGCAGCAGCATCTTGGGCTCATTGCAGGTAACTCAGGACATATCCTTTTTAATTGTGGAGGTGGTAAGGGATGACACTGTCCAGTGCATTTTAGTTTCAGAGCATGTGAAAATGCCTAGGATTAACTCTCCTTCTTCATTCCACAGGCTGTTGTCCCTGGACCAGCAGAGCATCCCCTGCAGTACAACTACACTTTCTGGTACTCCAGGAGAACCCCCGGCCGGCCCACTAGCTCACAGAGCTATGAGCAGAATATCAAACAGATTGGCACCTTTGCATCTGTGAGTACTGAGTAGTTTAATGTACTGAGCCTGGCTGGTACATTCATACCTATATTTATATCATTCTTGACCTTCTTGGTATCCTTGTTAACATTCTGGTTTCCATGATCAGCTGACCTGAGTTCTTGAGGCCAGATTTGTTCGTTCTTGGGTTTCTCATTAGCTACCCATAGGTAACCTACATGTTGTGTGTCTTCAGGTTAATGGCAAGTTCATAGCAACCCTATAGGACAGAGTAGAACTACTTCATAGGGTTTCCTAGCCTGAACTCTTTATGGGAGCAGATTACTAGGTCTTTTCTCTCATGGAGCCGCTGGTGGGTTTGAACCACCGAACTTTAGGTTAGTAGCCTAGAGCTTAACCACTGTGCCCCTAGGACTCTTCCAGGTAGTATACAGAAGTATCAGAAAATATGTGAATTATGGAATTGATGAAAAGAGAATAATACAAATATATAGGTATTTAAATAATACAAAACCCTCTGCCATCAAGTGATTCCAACCCATAGTGCCCCTAGAGGACTGAGTAGTACTGCCCCATAGGGTTTCCAAGATTGTCGATTTTATGAACTGCTGGCTGGTGGGTTTGAGCTACTGACATTTTGGTTAGCAGCCTAATGGTTAGTGCCACCAGAGCTCCTTAAAATACAGGTACTCTTTAGGAAGAGGAAGGCATAGAGAGGTGCAGAGGAGGTAAAGACAACAAAGATGAACCCTTTTGCATACCTAGTTTTATATTATCAGTGATGGCAAACATTGTTCTATGGGTGGATAGATGAGTGGACAGGCTGAATTATTAGGTATGTCTATGCAGGGGGGAGTGTGTCCATGGTCATGTCCAAGGTTGGCAGACAGTGTTTCTACAAACATATTTGTATGTTTTGTAAGAATTCCCAAGTATATAATAGAGCTGACAAAGGACAAAGTTGTAGTCATTTCTTAGCCACACCCAGCTACCCCAAGGGAGCGAGGAGTTGGACCTGTGGACTCAGGACCATGGGCACAGGGGACATCAAGCTCATTTGGCATAACATACTACACAAAAGCATTGTTCCACATCCTCCTTTGGCGAGTAGTGACCAATCTTTTAATCTTTTAATCTTAAAAGCTTACAGGCGACCGTCTCAATGCAATGATGTTCTCTTCTCGTCCAGAGCAAAGAAGAATGAGGAAAACCAACGATCTTAACCAAAAGATCTAAGCAACTGGTACACCATGCGATCCTCAGCCTATATGACTGTGAGAACAGGAGAACTAGATGGTGCCTGACTACCACTGTCAACCATTTGGAGGGGGATCTGTATGGGAGATCCCAGATAGAGAGGGAGAACAATGTGGAACAAAACTCAGAATCCTAAAAAAAAAAGAAAAAGGACCAGGTTTGCTGGTCTGATAGAGTCTGGTGGAACCTGAGACTATGGCCCCTAGCTGCCTTTCAGGTCTGGAGTTGAGCCCACTCCTGTGGCTTCCAGCCAAACAGAAGATAGGCATATGAGCTGAACATTTATATTAGGTAGATACACTCCTTGGAGAGAATAATCATGGGAGAATAGAAGGGCTGTGTCTGTACAGGAAGACAGCTTGGGGAGCAGAAGTGCATGGGAGGGAAGGACACAGGGAAGAGGTAACTATGGGGAGGAAGTAGGAGGGGATCTGTTGCATTGTGGGAAATTGTAGTCAATGTCATGAGACAAAGTGTATGTGAACTGCTGTATGGAAAGTGAATTTGCTCTGTAAACTTTCACCCAAATCATAATTTAAAAAAAAAAAAAAGTACTTTTTAAATATAGGTAGAGACTCTAGAAATGAATCACAAAGATTACACATAATTTTTTATGAGTCTGGATTGTTTTTGGTTTTGTTTTTTAAATAGATATTTAGTGAGTCCTTAATAAGCAAAGTACTGTGAGGGATACAGAATTTCATAGTATGTGGTGTCTACCCTCATGAAGCTTGACAGTAAAGTTGAGAGTGAAGTTCAAAAGTTGCTTCTGTATTTCAAAACCTCCCGTTAGACTTCTGATATGTTAGCAATTATGTGTAAAGTAGCACCTATTTCCTGAGTCCAGAAAGAAAATGAAATCTTTACTGACTGTTTTTGTGGGTGCATCAAGCTCCATCATGTCTCCCTTACAGGCGACTGGGTTAGTGTGCCTGAGAAGCTGTTGGCAGCTAAAACCAGTCTTAGTAAAAAAAAAAAAGAAAGAAACAAACGATTTTCATGTACTTTCCTTATGTTGTGCTTTTGATCTCTGGGCAGAATCAAATGCAGGATTTGTCCTTTTCTTGAAATAGTATACTGAGTTACTGTACTGTTTAAAATGCCAAAACTGGAGAATACTGTAACAGACAGTAAACGTTGCAGTAAGAAAAGAGAAGGCCCCAGTACTTCATATGTGTGCTTTCCTTCAATCATGAGCCAGATTGAAAATCCAGGTGGGCAGGCTGTGGAAGGCAGATTCCAGAGCCCAACTGCTCTCTCCCCTCCAGCAAGCCAAAATGTGCACCACGGGACTTCACGCCTCCTGCCCTGAGCCTCAGGCTGGGGCATAGGTTGCCTGCTAGACAAACTGTGGTTTTCAGTTTATTTTTAGCAGCTGTACATGTTTAACTGGTAATCAGATCATTTGATTAATGTGAGATCAACAACATTACTGTGCCAGAAGCAAAGATCTGGGTGCTTACGTTGGCTTGTACTGCCTTATCACCAGTTAAATGGAGGTTTTTTTTTTTAAAGTTTGAAATATTAAAAATAAACATATGCTAATGCGTATTTGAGTCAAAGAATATTTGTTAAAGGAGTTCAGGTTCTAAAATGAGTGAAGACAGAGGCTTCCCTTCAGCAGGGAAATAAGACATGCCTGGGAATTTCTGATTCCTGGTTGACTGCAAAGGAGCTCTGGTGGTGCAGTGGTTAGGACATTCAGCTCTTAACCAAAAGATCAGAGGTTTGAACCCACCAGCCACTGTGGGACAAAGATAAGGCAATCTGCTTTTATGAAGATGACAGCCTTGGAAACTCTATAGGACAGTTATACTCTGTCCCATAGGGTTGCTATGAGTTGGAACCCAGGTGGCGGTGGCAGTGGGTGGTGGTGGGTGGGTTGGTAGTGAGAAGTGTGTAGGAAGGCATGGCTAGCACACTGAGGGTAGAGGAAAAAGGGAATTAATTCCAACTTGGGGAATGCCCTTTTGAAGGAAGTAGGTTTAGGGTTGAATTTAAAGAATTTGAACAGGTGGTGAGAAGAGAAAGGAATCCTTGGCAAAGAGACCGATAGAATTAAACTTCTGAAAGTACCTGTATCTTCTTGACATCCCTGAATCTGTGGCAGAAGTTTTGATCATGGCTGTTTGGGAGCCTGGATGTTGCCAGTCTCATGGCAGCCATTACTTTAAAGACCAGTGGTCAGAGAAGAAGCTGAACTGGGGAGTGAGTTTCCATTAAGGATTCTGTTCAGTTGTTCTGGGGTAATTAAGGATATTTCTGGCATTTTTCTTTCCCTGTTTGAAAAACACCTTATCTGAATTTCCCCGGCGAGAAGTGTGTGTGTCGAATGCGTGGACCAGCAGTGGCATCTTGGGTTAGTGTTGCGTCACTATTCATTGGCTCGGTGGCAGTGTTTGGTATATGCTGTTAGGTTAGCCCTGCTGGCGCAGTGGTGAAAGCACTCTGCTGCTAACCATAAGTCGGTAGTTGTCTCCTGCCCGCCTCTCCACAGGACAAAGATGTAGTAGTCTGCTTTCATAGAGATTTACAGCCCTGAGACCCTCTGGGGCGGCTCTGCTCTGCCCTAGGGGGTCACTCAGTCAGAATCGATTCCATGGCGGTGGCTTGGGCTTGGTTTGGTGGTTAGGTTGGTAGCCCTCGTGCACAAAATTTTACTGTACATGAAAGTAATTCATGTCATTAGGAAATGGCTACCAGTGTTCACTTCCTCACAGAAAAATAATTACATTGTAAAGCCTTTGATCAAATCTAATGTAGTATTTTCCAGTGGTCCTTTATCTTAGTGTTTGACAACATTTAAAAGTTCTTGAAGTCAAGGTGACTATAAGGGGGTAGAAAGAACCCTGGTGGCGCAGTGGTTCAATGTTCAACTGTAAACTGAAAGGTCATTGGTTCAAACCCACCAGTCACTCCATGGGAGAAAGATGTGGTAGTTCACTTCTGTAAAGATTATGCCTTAGAAATCCTCTAGGGCAGTTCTACTCTGTCCTCTAGGGGCGCTGTGAGTCAGAATCAACATGACGGCAGTCGCCTGGGTTGGGTTCTGGCTCAGGGGGCAGGTAGTGTGTGGAAATGGAAAGAACCTGGACAGGAGTGATGAGGCCTGTTCATTCTGGTGCTGGATCTGGGCTGGGGCCCATTGCTCTGAAACTGTTTTGGCTGCATTAGTGATCACACATGAAGTAGCATCTCTGTGTGTGAAGTTCATCTACAGAAGAAGGAGGCACTTGAGAAGATTCCTTCTCTCCTCAGCGTCCTGAGTCTGTGACCATCTCTTAGTCCTTTCTGTTTACGTTCCCAGCAGCCATGTCACGCTGGCTCTGGGTTCCTCGCATCTTTTATTCTTAGGTTTCTGTTGGGATGTTCACAAACCAAAAGGAAAGGGGGGAAGCTTTCAGAGTTCATGTTTCTCAAGCTGCTCACCTCGTTCCTCTGGTGGCTGGGATATAAGATGTGGCAAGAAGATTGTGTAGTCAGCTGTAGGTGTGGAGCCAAAACCTTTAATAAAGCCGTTCTTGGGGTTCTAGGGGTTGGGGTGTCTGTACCTTCTTCCCACTACCCACCCTCTGGTTCCTAAGTTAACGTGAGCTGCAGTTTCTAGCACGTCCATTGTGTTTCTTTCCACTGGGTGAGCATGGGGACGGTGTCGTATGTTGTTCATTGGAGATGTGTGACCAGTCACTGTTCTACATCACTATGTGCAATTCCGTGTGACAGCTGCCAAGCTGAGAGTACTGCATTGAAGTTCTAGGAGTGGGGTTCATGCCTGGCTTCTTTTTAATGTATTTGAAATTTCCCCTGTTCCTGGTCTGTGACGCACCTGAAGGAACAGCCATTTCACGGGGTGTCCTCCCTTGGTATGACATCAGTACGTGGGAGCTGAGTCTCCGCCTGTGGTAACTGTCTTCAGCAACATCATCATGGTGTCTCTGTGTGTTCACCTAGCGCCTGTTTCTCCTCCGGCTGGTGCAGGTTTCCCTTTTCCTCTCATACTTACGAGGTGCTCTCTGAGTTATGAGGGAAGAGGGCCGTGATTTCTGATCAAGACACTAATGAGACAATCAGAGGAGCAGGGTGAGTATAAGTAAGCGTTGCATATGGTAGAAAACGTGAAGTCTCATTTTCCAATAGGATCGTGAAGAAGGGGCAAGAACAAACAGTTGTTGTAGCAAAGGAGGGCCTTTACCATAAGTCCTTGTGATTTGCGGCTGTCTTGGCCTTAGCAGAGCATCATGGTGCAGTGTGGTGCATGGTTCAGTCTGTCCTTTGTTCTCAGTATCTGAACAGAGGTAAACGTATTTCATTCTCGCTAATTTTGTATTTGCCAGCAGGACAGTTTTTGATCAAGAAGTGATTTGGTTCTAAAAGGTTCAGGCTCATAGTCCGTGCCCCTTACTGTGCCTCAGGACTGAAGGGTTTCCACTGTGCAGACAGGGTCCCCCTCCAGCCTCCGCTGGTTCCCCAGCAGCTTCAGTGGGAAGGTGTGTATCAGCGGGCTTCACCAGCGAGGACTCTTGGCCAGAGGTGGCCTTTCTCACCTCAGAGTTCTTTCTTGTGTTGCCAGTGTTACGTTTTTCCTTGATCACTGTGGGATCTTCTTTCCTCAAACATCCCTCCTTCCTCCATGAACCTCCATGTGAAAGGTAGCCTCTCAAAAGCACACCCTGTGGTGGAGCGCCTTCCATGTTATGGCCTCATTAATAAATCTCCTCGGCTGCATGCAGTAAGAAAGAAAAGATGCATCTTTACTTCTCTGGGGTCCTCTCTTCACAGGTGGAGCAGTTCTGGAGATTTTACAGCCACATGGTACGTCCCGGGGACCTGACAGGCCACAGTGACTTCCATCTCTTCAAAGAAGGAATTAAGCCCATGTGGGAGGTGAGCAGTGAGAGCCTTGAATTGCTTGTCTGGGCAGGGGTTTGGTCATGTTTTGTCTTGTGTTGTGTTTGCCTTATCGAGGTTAAAAGTACTTTTAAGCCTTTGCTCAAAATCTGGTCACTCGTGGATGTATCCTGGAAGCCAGTGCCTGCAGGAAGCAGCCCCATCGCTGGTTTGTCCAGGCTGGTGCTGGCTGGTGTTTGAGGATTGTTTTGTCACTAATGTGGTGGTATAACAATAGTGAAGGGTGTTATTTTAAAAAATTAACGCTTTTTGCAATGGAACTGTTTGTGTGTGTGTATAAAATTATAGTATGTAAAAATAGTTTTATATACTGTAATTGGGTCAAAAATAAGCTTGCAGGCATTGAGGATGAGAAAGACATAGAGAGTTACATGGGCAGTATAGACAACAAATATGAACCCTTTTGCATATACAGTACTGAGTTGTCAGTGAAAGCAAACATGGGTATATGGATGGATAGATGGGTGAACAAGCTAAACAATTAGGTATGTCTAAATGGGGAGTGTATCCAAGATCATATATAGGGTTGGCAGACAATGGGCCTATAAGTTGATGTGAATGATCAGAATTCCCAGGTGTATAGTAGAGCTGTCAAGGGGCAAGGTTATGGTCATTGCTTGATCACAGCCAACTACCCAGAGGGACCGAGTAGTTGATCCTGCGGGCTTGGGACCATAGTCGCAGGGGACATCAAGCTCAATTGGCATAACATACTATACAAAACATTGTTCCACCTCCTACTTTGGCGAGTAGCGACTGGGACCTTAAAAGCTAGGAAGCTGCCATCTGGATGCAACAATGGGTCTCTCCTCATCAAGAAGAAAGAAGAAAACCAAAATTAATGGAAACAATCAGCCCTAGCGACTGGTACACCATCCGATCTGCAACCTATACAACTATGAGACCAGAAGAACTAGATGGTGCCCAGCTACCACTGCCATCCACTTGGAAGGGATGTAGGAGATCCTGCATAAAGAGGGAGAACAATGTGGAACAAAACTCAAAATCATTTGGAGGCAAAAAAAAAAAAAAAGAAGGTGGGGACCAGGTTTGCTGGTCCAATGGAGCCTGGTGTAACCACTGAGACTATGGCCCCTAGCTGCCCTTCAGGTCTGGAATTGAACCCACAACTGTGGTTTCCAGCCAAACAAAGTACAGGCACGTGAGTTAAACATTTACCTCAAGTAGACACACGCCCTGGAGAGAACAATCATGGGAGAAGGAAGGGCTGCTTATGCACAGGGAGATAGCTCAGGGTGCAGAAGAGTATGAAGGGATGGACACTGGGAGGAGGTAACTATGGGGAGGAAGTGGGAGGGGAGCTGTTGCATTGTAAATTTTGGTCAATGACATGAGACAAAGTATATGTGAACTGCTGTATGAAAAGTGAATTTACTCTGTAAATCTTCACCCAAATCCAAATAAAATTTAAAAAATAAATAAATAAATAAGCTTGCAGGCAGTACCTGAAGACCCAGAGCAAGTGTTAGTGCTCTGAGTCATTGTCTTCTAACCTGATGCCAGGCCATTTTCAAGGAGACAGAGCTGATCACCCCCCTCCCCAACCCCACAGTTATCAGTCCTACCTGGCTTCCCTTGCTCACCTGATCTGGAACCTCACCTACCTTCAGAGTCTCATCCCCCATCATCTCCCCATCTTCTCTGTGTGCAGCCGGGCCTCTGGGTGGCATCAGCCTGTCTCGGGTCGGCACGTGTGCAGACGTGTTCTTCCCACACCTGCAGAGCCCGTCACCAGTTGCCCTTAAGGCCTGACTGCAGTGTTCCCTCCTCTGGAGAGTGTCCCGACCATCCTTTATTCTTCAGCCACACCTTGCAGATCAGCACAGCCACACCTGGCGCCCTGCATTACTCTGGCGGTTTTCCCCTCTGTCTCCTCTGCTAGACTGGATCTGGGGAGTGATAGTGGTTTCATGTCTGTGCCCTTGTTATAAGGCCATGCTGTACTAGTAGACATTTAGCAAATAAATGAGTGAATGATCTGTGCTTGGAATCTGACATCATTTTGTTTTGATTCCTAGAGTAGTTCTGGGGGAGAGAGGATTGTTCATGGAGCATCTGGTTAGCCTTTTTGGGGGACTGATTTGTACCAAGGATCTTTGTTTTTTCTTCCCGTTTCTTCTCTCACTACACCTACCTGCTCTGCACCATTTTTCCTGTAATGTTGACTAGTTGGAAAGTGATGAGACTTAGTGTTTAAGTGATTCTTGGCAGTAAAAATAACTGCCACAGGTGCAAAAGAAGGAGCCCTGGTGGTACATTGGTTAGCTTGGCTGCTAACCATAAGGTCAGTGGTTTGAACCCACCAGTGGGAGAAAGATGTGGCAGTCTGCTTCTATAGGGATTACAGCCTTTGATTGGGTTGCAGTGGTTTTGGATAACCTCAGAAGAAGCACTGTGAGGCCATGCTTCCAGTTCAATGCTTTCTCTTTTTGTTCAGGATGATGCAAATAAAAATGGTGGCAAGTGGATTATTCGGCTGCGGAAGGGCTTGGCATCCCGTTGCTGGGAGAATCTCATCCTGGCCATGTTGGGGGAACAGTTCATGGTTGGGGAGGAGATCTGTGGGGCTGTGGTCTCTGTCCGGTTTCAGGTAAGCCGCACCAGGCCCCGTCTCGCTGCTTATGTTACCTGTTCTTCTTGCCACCTCCAGTCTGCTTTGACTCCTCTGTTCCTCCTGCAGGAGGATATCATTTCCATATGGAATAAGACTGCCAGCGACCAAGCCACCACAGCCCGGATCCGGGATACACTCCGGCGAGTGCTTAACCTACCTCCCAATACCATTATGGAGTACAAGACCCACACCGACAGCATCAAGTACGTGTGGGGGGGGCTGGGGGAGGGTGTCCCTGAGCTCAGCACAAGCAGGTCCGTAGTTGGGTCCACAGGAGTTTGGTCGTACAGGAGACTGACTGGTGAGAAGGGACAGACCACTTCCCCTCTAGGGCTTCCAGCCGCTTGGAGCAGTTCTTTGTTAGTGAGGCTCCCTGCTCAGTGCCACAGGGCTCCAGCCGGGAGGGCCCTTCAGCAGACACCCAGCTGCACTGCCCTGCTCGCTCTGTTCGTACAGGCTATGTCGTCTTTCATTCACTGACCACCGTCTTAAAATGAAAGACAAGCACTCTTCTTTTTCTTGCTGTTTTTTTAAGAAGATTTCACTGAACTACCAAGTCCTCTCCCCTGCCCTTCCACTTCCCTGCTTTTGCATGTCTTTGTAACCTGCTAGCTTCAGTCTGTTCTCTTTGTCCTGTGACATTGACTTCTTTGAGGAATGGCAACTCCATTTCCTCTTGTGCAGAGCTGAAATTGTAGAGGCAGCAGAGTAGTGCGTTTGGGGGGTAAAATTGAATGGGGACACGAATGGCAAAGGAGAACTGGCTCAGCCAGCTGTCTAGGACCCAGGGGAGGAGACTCGCCAGAAAAGCTGGCTCCTCCTAAGAGTGAGTGGCAGCAGTAAGTTGAGGGGATTCTGGCCAGCAGTTGTGGGGATGACTGGTGGCTTTCTCAGCACTGGAGGGCAAGCTTACAAGCTGGGAGTCAGGGCTGGTTCCCTCCTTGGACCCTGAAAACAATATGTGCCTTTGGCAATCTCTTGGCCTCTCTGCTTCAGTGTCCCCATCTGTAAAATGGGGGCCAGTAATACTGTCCCTGATAGGGCTGCCATGAGGCCCGTTTACCTTGCTAGTGGACTGATGTTCCTCAGGTGGAGAACGCACTTGCAGGGCCCGATATTATTATTATCGTCCTCATCCTCATTAGTAGTGACATCATCACGACGTTATGAAAGACGAGTGCTGAGCCTAATGATTGGGTTCCACAGGAGCCAGGTGCTGGGAGTCTATTTTCCCATGCACTCTCAGAGAATGTGGGTGGAGCTGGCTTAACCAGCTGAGTGCCAGCTGCCAGCTGGGCACCCTGCCACCAGCACTGTTCTATAATCAGTGGTTGGACGGGACTCATCTCAGCCACCAGCTGTTACTAGCTAGCCATGGTCCGGTTGCTTGCTTTAGTCCTGTGTTAGCACTGGTTTCCTCTAGACAGGTTTTCTTACTCTGTTTCCACCCTCCAGCCAAGCTCAGTCCAGGCTGGGCTTTTTCTAGGATTCTTGTTTTTGAGGTTCCCAAATGCCACCCTTCCCCAAAGCAAGGCTTTCAACTGGCCAGGAAAGGAAAAGCGGTCTTGTTCATCACCTTACCTTCTCTGTTCTCCCTTCCTCATACCCTGAGGCAGTTCTTCCTGAGCTTTGTGGAAACGGGTTCTAGTCTGTACAGAGTTCTAGGAAAACCAGTGGACGTTGGGCCTCAGTCTGCTAGCTGACTGGCCTCCTGCCCTGGCTTTAGCAGAGGTCTGTGTCTGCAATGCCAGCCCTGCCCCTGCAGGGACCAGGAAGCCTCCTGGGGACCCAGATGCTACTTTCTCTTGCATCTCCCTCTTTCCTCTCCCAATGTGCCAACTTTTTGCACTTCCACTAGAATGCCAGGCAGGCTGGGCCCCCAAAGGCTACTTTTTCAAAACCTCTGGAAGACGCGGGTGAATGTGCCGTGACCCTGTCCCTTTCTGGATGGCACCATCACTGAAGCTGGCCCCACCGGAGTCTCTTGTTTTGTTGGCGTGCTACCTGGAAGATCCTTCTGTCCTGGACGAGAGGACTTGGACGAGCATTTGATGTTTTCAGAACAGGCTGACACCAGCAGCTACGCCAGCTGCTGAGATCGTTCAATAAACGGTGCTAAACTAGCTTGTCTCCTGCTCTTGCTCTTTGTGGCGCAGCCAAGAAGTGGCCTTTCAGATGATTGTCACCATATAAAGGGATGGCACAGGCTTCTCTGTGCAGGGCCAGCCAGGGAGTCCAGTCTCATTTCCATAAGCCCATTGTGTAGTGCCACATAGTGTGTAGTCTGAGAGCTCCTGAGGTCTGACATAATGCGGGGACTTCCAACTCAAAACAAGACCCCATTTTCTGGTCCTTGAACTTTCCCTCCCGTTCAGTCACGCTCATGACCAGAACAGAGTGGTTTCTGACAGAGGACTCAGCTGAGAAGTCGGGTCGAGTTAGACGGGGGCTCCTTGCCTTTGCTTTGCTGCCTTTCCCCTCTGCCTTTACTTCAAGGAAACCTCTTGCTTGGGAGTGAAGCCCTGCTTCTGCCTGCACGTGGCTGTGTGTCTGCAGCTGCCTTGCTTTGTGCTCTCAGGGTTTCTCCCTGGGGCCCGAGCTGCCTGGGCCGCCAGCTTGTCACCACTTTCTCCACTGCTTTTCCTCCAGAGCCAGGCTATCTTCCTCTTGTGCTCGCCCTGCTCCCCAGATCTCAGACACACCCTGTCCCGTCCCCAGCCCCCCTGCTGCCGTGCATCAGGGTCCAGGAAGGGATCTGCATCCCGGGCGAGTTGGCTCCTGGCATATCTGACCAGAACACTTAACTGACCTCTCGTGTGCTCTGTGGCTTTGGCTTCTGTGTGCTATAGCTTGGCCTGTAGGCCCTTCCCCTGCATGTAGAGTTGTAGCACCTCATGTTCCTTTAGGTTTTCTGAGGAGCCACCACCAAAAACAAGAAGAAGGATTTTTACAGACACTGGGTCAGGTTCCTGGTAGCATCGGTGGAAGTGGCTGTGGCTTCATGTTGAGTTTCCTAAAGTGGCTGTTCGGTTGGGGCAGCGACATCTGTGCTTGTACTGTCCTGACTTTCCACCGGGCTCCACACAGCCTGGGGTCCCAAGGAACACATCTTGGGACTGATGTCACATTCTAGGGGTGTTGGTGTCATTGCTCCTTTGTTCATTGCATACCCAAAATGGGTCGAAGTACTTAGAAGATGGGGGTTGGCTGGAATATGGAAAGACCCTTTTTCTGTGTGTTTAGCTTTGTCAAAGAGCTGCCGTCCCCTGGCCCGCTCCCTCTTGCCTTCCATAGCTGTGTGACGTGGAGTGACCTCAGTCTCTGCTGTATTGCAGCTAGTCCTGGAAATGAGCTTGATGTCACCTTCCAGAGTCCGCGTTGATCAGAAAACGCCAAACTGACCTGCCACCTCTGATCCTTGCCACCTGTGCGCAGCTTAGCTGGGTGCTGTGTCTGTTCCTTGTGGCCCTTCCACAGGTGTGGCTTTGTTTGAGCCAAGGAGCAGCAGCTACTGGGACTTGAGAATTCCAAAGTAAATGAAGAAGGAGCTGGCAGTACATGGCTCTCCCCCAGGGACTAGCAGTCAGGGCTGTGGGAGTGGTCAGGAACGTTTTTAGGAGTGGCTTAGACTTTTCAGTCCAGTAGTTTTGCCTCCACTTTTTTTTTTAATCCTGTTTCCAGTGTCCTCTTGCACTTGGCTTTTCCAGCCTCCCCCGATTGCACTGCGCTGGCCTGCTCCTGCGGTGCTCCTCAGAGAGCTGAGAGGGGTGTGCCGCTCCACCAGCCGCTGATGACCACCCCCTCCTGATCTGAGCTTTGCTGCCTGCTGGTCTCTGCCCTTGTTCGTTGCTAACTGTCCCCCCTCCAAAGGGAATAGGGCCCCTTAAGAAATGGGACCCTGGTGAGTGTTAGCTCAGGTGCATGACGCCTTTTCGGAGGCTGAGGCTTCATGGAGTTTTCCTAGGTAGGTCCTTGCAAGCACCAAGTGACCCCCATCTCCTCTGGTCTGAGGAACCACATTACCCAGCCAGACTTATAGCCCAGAGTTGTAGGACCCCCAGGGTAGAACGGCCCAGAGCCAGTCAGATAGCTGCATCTTGTGAGGAGGTTCCTTTCAGGGACAGGACAGTCCCAGTGAGTCCCTGTGTACATCTGGCTTGGAACAGAAAAGAAACAGATGGGACCACAGTGGGGGCCCCAGTTGAGGGCGACAGACCACCTGCCCTGCAGAGGAAGGTGAGGGTAGTAGTTTCTTCTGAGTTTCTTCTGGAGGAGAAACATCTGGAGTGGTGGGGACCCTTCAGCACATCCGGATTCCATTGTACAGCCGGCACTTGCACCCGGTCCCTTCTGGCTCAGCCCCTGCTGAGCACTTGCTTTTCTGCCGCAGACACACTGAATCCGAATCTGCGTTCTCACAAGACCCCAGAGGACTCTCATGGGTCTCGTGGGAACGCAGGTTTCTGATTCAGTGTGTCTGGGTGGAGAGGCACATTCTCAGCAGGAGGTCGAACCAGAATGAACTGATTTAAAGCCCTGGTTTAAGCATTGAACTCCGTAGGCAAGGAGCAGCCCACCACTTCTGCCATGGCTAAACCCAGCCTTGTGGCACTGGGTCACAACAGCGTGGTTGCTGGTCTGGCTTTTTGCATTACGAAGTGCGCCTCCATGCTGCTGTTCAGAAAGAGAGAGCCCATTCCCCGCCATCCCTAGGGGCTGGCTGAGAGCCAGGCTGAGAGCCAGGCTCAGGGAGGGGCACGAGGGGGGTACAGATGCATCCAGAAAGGAGATCTCGGGACCAGAATGATCTTTAAAGTTACTTGTCATTTGAATCTGTTCAAAACAGGCTATGTGCAACTCAGGGTAATTGTTATCTTTTTTTTTCCCCCCAAGAAACTCTAGTCCCATAACACTTTAAGCATTTAAGTTGTTCTTTCTTTACATTTGAAAGAAGGATGTTTTAATATTACCTACTATGCTTAGGATGCCAGGTAGAAGATAAAATGCTCACACGTAGCTTTGCTTCATGCAGTGGGTTTGTCTCTGTTGCCAAGCTGTTGACATCTGACTAAGGGTAATTATACCAAAGACTGTGACCAACAGCTTTAATTCCACCAAACACATGAGGGGAAATTCACCCAGATTCTTCATGTTGAGGCTTAGCATACGAAGACAATGCTTGTGAAGAAAACCGGGCAGGCCCTTTAACAATGGAATGGAATGGACTAGAGGGGAGGTTGGAAGATCCAATTTCGGCAGGTCCTTGGCCCAGAGAACTGCTCGTTTGGGCTAGCGTAGGTGTGGGCGTTTCTGGAAAATGGATAAATGAGACAAAAGTTCAACAGAGCTGTGTAATCTCTTGTTGACGCCTGAATTGTTTGAAATAGACCTGAGCTCTCACTGTTAGAAAGAGGCCTTGCTCAAGCATCAGACCTTGCTCTGCCCTGGTCTTCAACCATGAACTCACCAAATGCATCACGTCACCATCTCCAGAAGGGGCCGAGGGACACACCTTGCTGGGGAAACAGTTTGTAGGTTAGCAGGCTGGCATCCTTACATTTTTCTTTCATTCAGTTAGCATGTGTTGGTAGCTTTGGTGACGCACTGAAGAAACTACACATCGCCCTCTCATTCTTAAGAGATGGATCATTAACTGGGAAATGCTGCTGCCCAAAGGAGGGAAATGCAGATGAACTGGGTGGTGACACTGGGCCAGATCTCCGTACCTACCCCACCCTGTTGAGAGAGAAGCTCTCTGTGGAAGGCCTGGGAATGACATCCATTTTTGTGGCCGTGACACTGAACCTGTAGTGAGTGTTAGGGTATGGTCTTCATGCTGTCCCTTTACATCAAGAGTGGAATCCTAGGCAGTGAGAAAGTAGATTTAAAAGCACCAAATGATCCATTTCATATATAATTTCCAGGGAACTTACCAGACATTCTGTCCCTAATGGGGCTGACGAGAGGTTGGGGCAAAATGGTGGGCAGTTAGCTCCTCAGAAAATGGGAGGTCGGTTGGAGCCTCTGGAGGTTTAGGGGATCCCATTTCACCAAGGACCTGTTGTAGGCAGAGCATCCCGAGAGACTTCACCCCTGTCCACGTGGCTTATCTCTCTAACCCTGATTTCTAAGAGCTTGACATACTGAACTAATCAGCATGAAAGTTGCAATGAGCCTTACTCCCTGGAAAACTGGAACTACTGTCACTATACCACCTAAACGTTGAGATACAGTTGTTGAGTATTTTGAGAGTCTGTGGAACCTGGTAGAGACTTGGGGTCTGAGTTTAGAAGAGGTAGGTGGGGAATATGAAAACAGAGAAAATAGAGTGATTTCCTTATTGCCCTTGAGGCCTCATGAGGCTGTTGAGTACGGCCTTCACCCTCGGAGAGACCTGGTCTTCCCGGACCCAAGGCAGGATGGCTGTGGCACCCTCTACTGCAGTAAACTGGAGGTGTTCCCAAAGCTTCATGGCAAATCCTCAGGGCGTAGGGAGGGCCACCTGCCCCTGGGAGCCGCTGGCTCCCCTGCTAGCTGGAGGACAGTCTAGCCAGCCTTAACTGCCATGCTGCAGGGACCCATGGGCTCCACCTGACCTGGAGGAATCGGAATGGGGTTGGGGTATCATGTCACTCTCCTTGTTGAAAGCTTTTGATCTGAATGTGCTGTTGTGTTTTTGTCTCTGGTCTGCCAGGGCCTGGGAGGAGTTTCATGGCCTGGTGAGCAGCAGCGGCCGCTGATCGGACGCTCCCCCTCTGTCTCTCACACTCAGGGTAGGGCCTTGTCTATCTTCTCTTAACCCTGTGACATGTTTGTCAACCATAGGAAACCCCCCCCCCCCAGTGGGTACCCCTCTCCTGTTTACCCCAGCCAGACCTTGGCCAACACCGAGCCCATTCCAGTCTCAGGGAAGAACCTGAGTCCAGAACTGCTGGACTCTGCCTCACGGGTCAGCTCACCATGAGCCCCACACGGCTCCTGCAGCCTCACTGGGCCTGTTTTCATCTTGGAAAACGAGGCCACAGGGACTAGAAAATCTCTCAGACCACTTTTGAGGCCAGCCTCTAACGATTAGATGTGGGCACAGAGCTTTGCCTGCACTCTGGCGTGGCCATTTTAGGCC